AAAGGAAATAACTGAAATATCCAGAAAAGTCATGAAACAGGTAAACAAAATAAGTAAAACAATCAACTTTGGTAAACAAAATAAAGAATTCAGTTTGAAATTCCAATATATATCACCTGAAGAAGACCAGAGCATACAACAGCTGAAACATCATGAATATGACAATAAAGATGAGAACAAGAGTCTGAACAAATAGTGTAAATAATACATATTGTAAAGGATGTGTCATCAGTGATGCTAATAGTAGGTTCAGTGATAGCTTTGGGTCTTTCATTATTATACCATCTCACCCGGATGAACCTACTATCATTGATCACTTGACAGCACAAATACCCCAGCAGCAAACTACGTTTAATCATTTTGTGCACTGCCTTACTTAGATTAAGAATAACTAAACAATAATGCCACCAATTTGTATTAATTGTTGAAAACGTCAGCCAATAGGAAAGGCTCCTTCCCGTTTATCTTGTCTATAAGGGGAAACTGCATCAGACCTATAATTTTTGGTTGGCATTATCTTTAGGCAAACGAACACCAACATGAATCACAAAGCTTTATGTCTTTTTATGACGTTTAAATATACGGGGTGCGATGGATAAATTGTCGTTTAAATTACACAAAAATGAAAACAACACTGACATCTCATTTTAAGAGATATATTTACCAAACTTACACAAAAATACCTTTTAAGTACTAAAGAGTAAATTTATTCAGTAAAATCGTCATTGGCTTCAACCACAGCCTCCAAACGACTTTGGAATCTCCTGGACAGTCTCCTTCTTTAAGTTGGTGAATGCTGGCATAATCCTTGCCTTCAGTTCATGTTTAGTGTTACAATTTTTGTTGGTCTCTCGCTTAACTGTGTCACACACATAATAATCAAGGGGGTTGCCATCTATGGAGTTAGGTAGCCAGATGTAATGGGTGATGTGGTTGCAGAAATTGTCTGACAGCCATAACTGGGTTCTCCTGCTTGTGTGGCATGGTGCAGAGTCTTGTTGCCAGACATAGGGTCTTCCAGGAACCACCCTCTTGATCCAGAGCAGCATTACATCCTCAAGACATTTGATCCAGGCCTCCATGTTGAGTCTTAGGCCCTGTGGGAAAATGAATGGAGGTATAACATCACCATCACAAGTGAACACTCCAAACCCTCTCGTAATCACTATCAAACATCCAGCTCTTTCTGAATCTTCTGCACTGTCTCCAGATTGACACTCAAACATTCTTAAATGTTAGTATTGGATCTTCTGGCATGTATGCCAAGCAGTACAGCATGCTGTTACCAAATTTATGGTGGAGTGAATCGTATCATGGTGCTCTTTTCCTCACAGATGGTGCCCAAATGACACTACTATACTATGTAGTCGACAAAATCAAAAACAAACAATGCGAATGCACAAAATTAAAAATATAAAATAGCAACAATTCACCCATCACACTCCATAGATTTACGACGAACAAGATTGTCCTTATTTTATGCTTTCAAGGCGACCTATGGAACAATGTAAATTGAAATTATTAAAATAACAAAGCCAGTCAAAAAATGGAAATGGTTTTAATGTACAATTTAAAAACAGAATGAAAATCTCAGGCATATAAGTTTACTCCCAAAATGCAGACAGTCTTCTCTGACTCAAAAAGTTCCAACATTTTAAGCTATACAAACTAGATTGATCAATGTTTTCTGGGTTAGAATTGATTATGGTATCAATGTCTCAAGAATAAACAAACATAAAAAAGAGAAACATGAAAAAAAATTATTTAAAAATAATTTTTAATAACCCATTGTACCTGAGTAGTGCCTTAAAATACAAATTAATCAGACAATATGAATTATTTTTAATGATCAAATAGTTGTGAAATCTAATTTGTTTTTATCTTTAAAATATGCGGAAATCCTTTTGCTTTTAGTACCAATTGGAAATTTGTATGTATGATAGGTTAATATAAACAAAGTCACCAAAAATGAGGCTTAACCTCATTGCCAAGTTAATCCTGTCTCTCTAATACTTATGTCTTTCTACCACACTGTACGAGGTCTGATCCAAAAGTATTGGGACTGTTACTATAGTAACAGAGCTAAAGTATGCAGAGTGAAGCCACTTGGTACAGACTGACCTTGAACTTTGTCACACTTGCACATTAAGTTATAACATTCTTGCTCACTTGCATCGTTTATAGCAGGTACTTTGAAATAATGTGTATAACGTGTGGTCATCTCACCACACCAGAGATTCCTTCAGTGAACATGGCTTGTGAAACAATTTTTGGCTAAACACAACATTCCCCAGGTTCAACAACCACCATATTTTCCAGATCTTGCCCCTAGCAACGTTTTCTTCTTCAAAATTCAAATCCCACTTGAAAGAAACAAGACAATGAGAAAATTCAAGAGAATGTGACAAGTCAGCTGCTTGCACCACCACCCCCTCCCCAATAAAAAAGGATTCCAGGAATGTTTCCATCAATGGAAACAATGTTGGATAAAGAGTGTGGCTTCAGAAGAGGACTACTATGAAGATTCAATACCAAATTCATACATATTGTACTTTTCTTTTTATAGTACCAGTCCCAATACATTAGATATATGAGGTCTGATCAGAAAGTAAGTTTATTATTACTATTATTATCATCAAGTGAGGAAGTAGTACACCAACAAAGTAATGCTGGGATACAAATATGGGAAGTATAATATACCCAAAATGACATCTCTGTGTGATAAGGGTATACTAGGCCCATGTATCACAGCCAAATGTGCACCATATAGTAACAGATTTTGATAAAAACAATGCAAGGTTGTCCTTGCAGGTTATGCTTGGTTAGAAATACTTTCAGGTAAGGTAACTCAATCTGCTCAATATGATGATGATATGATGAGGATACTTTTCTGCTTCAGGCTAAAATCAGTTATTGCTCTTTTCGATGTGCTCTGATAAATAGATTGTATCCAGGAGGTATAGTAAAAAAATAAAGGCAGTGATATACTGAAAGCTGTAGCAGGAATAATGATGTTTTTTTTTTTCAATCTATAAATTATGATCATAAAAATAGCATTATTGTACTTCAGCAATTATTACATAACAAATGACTCAACCTCACATTTCAAAAACTTGGTAACTGAAAATCTATAATTTTTAGTCATAAAGTTAATACTCTGAAAGACAATGGCTGTGGACTTGAATTTTATGGTTCTAGCATGTATTAAGAGGTATGATTCATTGGAAGAGCAATAAACTGTAGGACTGACAGCTTAGTAATTTGATTATTAAATGCTGAATTATGGTGGGCAAGTTTTGATGTCATACACCAATTGAGAAAAAGAGAATTGAAGCAACTTTTCTCAAGTGGTCAGTCTTGTTCATGCATAACATGAAAGAACATAAAATATGTTTTCTATTCATACTATGAGTTTAACAAAGATCATCTTCAGATCTGGTGCAAAACTTATGATAAAATGAAATCAATTGTAAAGAGAAAGGCAACAAAAAAAATATCTTCAAACTTATTAAACTCTCACATTCTTTCTCAAAGGCAAAAGTGCAAAGTGAATGCAAACTTGGCCTGTTGATTACATTAGCCACACTGATAACTTATGTAAATTTAAACAATTTGAAAATGGAAGCATATTTGTGTATATGATATATAATTAGTTACTGTCAAGGTTGACAGTGAGTGCAACATTAATTTTGCTGCTATAGTTTGGATAAATAAAATAGTTATGACAATGTGGTTTGTCCAAATGCTTGATCAATCTTTTCTCCATCAATCATTGTGACATGCCAGTGATGAGATATTTTGTCAAGAGTGCTGCTGCTGATGGAACATTTTAATCAGAATAATTTTTTACCAAACACAAAATCAACAACAAAATAAACTAAGTAGACTCAAGCTTTCTGGGGAAAGAAAGAAAGAAAGAAAGAAAAGAAAAGAAAAGAAGCATAAATTTACCAGCCAGACCAATCTATTGGAAATGACCAGTTTATAAGTCGATGTGATTATGAAATAAAAATTAAATAAAGCCAGAATGAACATAGAAAGGTAAGATACCTTGTTTCTTGCAATGAGGCTGACAAGAACTTTGAAGCCGACAATTTATAGTGCAATTATGATCTGAAGAATGGCTTGCAGATACCAAAATACAGTGAGTTCAGTACCTGGAAGGAGTTGTATAAAGATTTGAGGAAGGACCTCAGCTTCTGACAGGTAAGATTCAGATTGATATTCTATGTTCATCTTTTTTGTTGGATAATAAGGATTAAGGAAAAAAAAAAAAAAAGAAGAAACTGTAGGTTTTCATTCAAAAATTCATGTTGCACAAAAAAATAGTGTCTGTGTAAGTACTGAGCGGGCAGCAATGGCCATGGCTTGTGAGACAAAAATAAGTTAATGTTTTAACCTATGATCTGATGAAGATTTTTTTTTGCATTTTTTTTAGTGTAAAATGAGCTTGACAGAATTCACAAATTTGGCAGTGAGTTCAAGAAACATTTTTGGCAACTTTATATATATATATAAGGAAAGACATGATATAAAAATATATAGAGATCAGATCAATGGAAAATGAATGACAAGATGGAATACTTATTAGTGACATATTTTGTTCTGAGAAAAATTCTTCAGAGAAATAATGATTATATTGATGTAACTAGTCTTATATATAAAAGCAGATACCTTCCTCTTATATATATATATACACATACACACACTCTCTCTCACACACTCTCTCTGTCTTGTGAAGATTATGTATAACTTGTTACCAAATACCTATTCCTTGCTGCATGATGTATGTTTTACATTGAGACATTTTGGAAGTAAAATATGTAAAAAATGATAACATGAAATGTAAATATGTATTTTTTTGCTTTTTTTATATTTGTCATCATTTTGATTTTTCGTTCTGATTTCTGCTGCTGGTCAGTGGCTATTCAAGTGGTCAACAGGTTTTAGCTGCTTGGCACAACTTTGTGCAGATAAATTTTTCTTATGGCTGTCCAGTTTCACTAAAAAAAGAGAAAAACAAAAAGTAATTTATGTTTCGCAAGGTTAAAATCTAAGTTAAACTGTGTGTCAGTAAAAAAAGTCATCAGTTTAATAAAATATCGATGATGGAAAACCATTATTGTAACATTAACAAATTTATAAAAACAGTACAAGGAAATCCTGAAAAGTTCTGTCTCTTTCAACTCCCCAAAACAGTATGAGGGGATCCTGAAAAGTTCTTAGCTTGCCCCCACTTCTCATAAACAACAGTCTGGATTTGAAATTTAAAGTAGAGTACTTTGAAGGGTTTGCTCACTTAATTTAACAACATATAACACTAGGTTACTTAATGTTGAACATAAATCTTATAGGACAAAAATCACAATGAATTAATAGAAAGGTAGACACAGATCTGATTTATGCTAAAGTCAAAAAGGTAGGCATTGGATGGGGTTAATACCAGTCTGCAAGTATTGTGTTGGAAAGTGGCCCCCTTTTTCAGGAGCTCTTACCCCTCTGCAGCAGATGCAATCAGCATATTCTAATCCTCGCCAACATGCCCTAAGCTATTTCGTCATTAACATTAAATGCTCATTACTTTCCAAACAGAGAAAGAAAGAGATTATTCACTAAAATCTTATAAGTTTTTAATTGTTTTTAGGAGAAATTTTATGAAAATGTATCAATATATCTGTAGCCTAATGATGAAAAAACAAAGGACATTTATTTTACATAACAAATATTTATTCTATAGCATGAGTTCTTTTTGATCAATGCACTTAATTTAGTGGTGTATATTATAATTTAAACATTTAGGATCAAAATTTGACTAATACCTACAGACCAGGCTACAGACTTACTGATCCACATTTGTAAATGTGCACTGTATATTTCTTGTCCTTTTATACCTAAATAATTTGCCATAAATCTTTGTCCTTAGCTGATAAGCAAATGAAAAACCTGTTTATTTATTGGCTTGTTGCATTATCAAACAACAAACTACTTACTTTGGAAAATGATCTTTGTCTCATCAGTGTTTCAACTTTGGAATTGTAGAAATCAAATACAAATTGTGCCATTTGGGCCATGTCTTCCATGGCAGCAATTTTGCCATAGGCTTGGGCATTAATCTAGAAACAAAAACAAAATAATGATATTAAATATAAACAACAATAGTTCAAGGGATAATATTCTTTTTGTTACGGGGAATACTAATTTAATTCCCTTATAAAGGATGATAATATACAACTAAGTTACTTCCCTTGTCCACTAGTGGAAGCAAAGCAGTTCTGAATTCAACATGGTGACAAAGCTGACAATAATGTGAAATTCATGGTTTAAATCAAAATTAATCCTTGCTGTTCTCAGGCAGTAAATGAATAAAAGTTTTATAATGTGTTAAAATATGCTTGTCTTTTTTTTTCCTTTATTTTTGTTCATCCTAACAACTTGAAATATAACACTTTTATTAAGGGAAGTGTTAAGTAGTAGCATTGTGGCTATTTTTTAGGAAAATGGAGTTAGGCAATAAAGTTTGAATTTCAGATAGGGGTGCTTGTGCTCATTTCCTACAAGTAACCTTGATGAAAGTCATGAACCCACTTCTACTCCCAACAGGGAATTTAGCCATGTTAAAGCAGTTCATATTGTGTCACTTTTAGCGGATACCTGTTTCTTTATTAAGATTTCTTGAATGTTCAGACCAAATGATGTAATACACACCTGTTAAAATAAAAAACAGAGTGCCTATTTCAAAAATGGTCATCCACTAAAAATAACATTTTAATTTTATATATATATATATATATATATATATATATATATATATATATATATATATAATTTTAGAATGGATTTTTTATTAATCTGACAGATTTTTTTCACTTTAAAAAAGATAGAGCCCCACAGATATGCTAAAAAATGCAGTTGTGGCCCTATGACCCACAGACAGTCTGCAGGAACAAAAAATGAAACATTCTTTGATAAGACTTGATTAACAGTCAGATGAAAATACATTTTCAGAGATATGAAGATAGATATTTTTTCCCACCTTTTGATCACAAGTAATTCTTCAAGGTATTTCCTGATGTCAGCAGTGTGTATGTGTGTAGATATGCATGCACACACACACACATTATATAAATTACTTTAATTAGAAAACAGACAACCTTAAGGGTCCATTGATTATATTTTATTTCCCCGGGAAGGTGGATTTTTCCTGATTCTTCAGATCACACTTCCAAGCATAAAAAATGGTTTTAAATTTACGTATTATTTTTAAACACTTTTGAGGAGTAGTTTTAAGTTGATGTAAGGTGATAGAGAGAGGGGGAGTAGGAGGATGACAGATATGGTCAAAATTAGGGAAGGAAGGGAGAGGTGGGAATAATTTTAAATCTATTTTTATTAAAATACTTAAGGGTAAGGACCAGACATTGACCTATTAAATAAGTCATCTCACAGGAAACAAGACAAAGAAGAAAAAAGAGAAGAAAATATATAAGAAAGCAAATGTGGAAGCAGTGGTGTGATGAAAAAAGTGGGGAAAGAAGAAAAGGAAGAATAAATTACCATGTATGGTCATATTGGAGTTAATTTAAAAATTTAATTAATGAATTTTACTGACATTATTTCTTATTACTTCAAACATATTTAGTTTATACTCATGTTTGAGTAGATATGTGTATTTGTTTTTTTTAAAGTGTAAATTTACAGCTACCACCCGGTTCATTCGAAGATGCAGTTTTGAATCCTGTTGGAAGGCACTCAAATGCACAGGCCAGTAGACATAAATTTAGAGTGTTTAAAAAAGAGGGATGTCTACTCAAATACGTGTATCCAGTAAATATGACATTTAACATAATAAGGAACGTGTGTGTGTGTGTATATATATATATATATATATATATTATTATGTTTATATTTAGTTTACTGTTGACACATAAATAGAGAGGTTTTGTTGGGACAATAAGAAACAATTGCGTTGTGATGTTCTCTATCTTTATATTTATAATATTCAGATTTTTGTACTATTGTTTTGATATTTTCTCACAATGCAATAATGAGTTGGAAGTCATGACATATGGCGATCTCAATGGCACAACACAAAAGTTGATTTATAAACCAACAGTGGCTTTCACTTACCTTTCTAACTGGAGGATAAACTTCTGTTGGAATAAGATGCAGTTTCTGTGGACGACTTGTCAGCTGAAAATATTAAAACAAAATTCATTAACAATTAACAAATGGTTACTGAGAGTGAAAGAAATGGAGAGGACAATAAAAGAACAAAATTCCATGAGGCAGAAAATGATTATTGATATTTTATTTAAATTTTTAAATAATGTAATTGACAGGAAAGTAGGAAGCTGGAAGAGACTTCCACAAGTGAGAAGTGTGGGAGAAGAAACTATTAGCATAGAATTTATGGTTACAACTAACAATTTCAACATTAAAATAATGAGACCTAGCTGCCAATCTAGTACTGTGCTTAAATTCATGAAGTTGAGGAAGCAATAAGGAAAACTTGTCAGAAGAATTACCATAAAAATATTTATAGAAGAAGCAAAGTAAAGCTATATTATAGCAGTGGGAAAATGACTGAAACCAAGATGCCATATCAGGCCCAATAATGTTGCAGATTCTTCTTTGGATTTTATCAAGAATCTCTAGATATAAAACAGAAACACCAAAACAAATGTGGCAGCAATATTCAGTGAATGGAGTTATGAATGTGAAAGATATAATCTAGTGAGAAAAAATTATCTTAATGACAGTGAACTGACTTTTCTAGTAGAAGTCTTAACAAATGATTCAATATAACCATTCCACTTCATGTCTGTGGAAAAATGTAAGACCAAGAAGATGCAGTGAATTGCTCACCTGGAGAATAGCATCAGCCATGCTGCTGATGGAAGGCAAAAATTTTATTTTTTCAGATGATTAATAGAGAGCAGTTTCATTTTAGACGCATTAAAATTAGAGTATTATAAATAATCAAAATTAAAATTAGAGTATTATAAATAATTAAAATTAAAATTAGAGTATTATAAATAATCAAAATTAAAATTAGAGTATTATAAATAATTTACATAATACATGTGCTTAGAAAGGAAATATGTGAGAAGAAATAGCCAGGAAGAGAAAAAGGAAAGTAATCAGTGTGAGTAGTGTGAAATGGCCTTCAATGTTGAATGTTAAATCAGAAATATTATCAATTTATTAAGGAATGCACTTTGTGTTTCCTCTTTTCTTCCTTCTTTTCCTGTCTAGACTGAGTCCTGTCTTGAGTGTGAAAAGGTGGGAAAGAATCTGTATCATTTGACAACCAGACAGATTGACCCTCTAATGGAGTAAGTAAAAGTCGATCATCCAAGCCCACGTGACATGTGCCACCATGTGGGATTGTTGAATTGTATTTTCAGTTTCCCGATATTCTCTGACCATGACAAGTAAATTGATTATAAATGCGCCTATGAATTTATTCTCTTATTTTTCAAGTAAGGAATAAGGAGATATTATTCCTGAAGATCCTGGATTTATTCAACTACTTGATGTGTAGAGAATAAGAGAATATTATAACCAAGAAATCATACCAATTTCATCTTCGATATAATTCAATTATCAGAGGGGAAATGAAATACAAATACAATTCTGGTGTCTTATATCTTATATTGCGGAAAGAAGAACTATTGACTTTTATTTGAACATTTTAAAGAGATCCTGTCTGTCTGACATTATTAATATTCGAACTTACAAATTCATGAAACAAAAATGCTTGAATTAACACCAGTAACAGATAAGTGCCTTTTATTGATTTTACATATGTTATCTCATACTCTTTCCATAGTCTGTTGTTTTTGTTATATAAAATTATTTCGAAACATTCATCTTGTGTTTGTTGTTCAATGACACGCCTGTTTCATGTGTTCCTGTCTGAGTGAAGCCATCTTTTCTATTTTTGAAGCTAGGGTTCAGATCTCTATATGTTGCCAATTCATAACAAATGGAAACAAAAGTAACAATGATAAAATCATTAATGTGCATTGCATTGGAAAACTTGGCTAAAATTAGTATTGGATTGTTAACAATAAGGAAATGACAAATGAGTACATAGTGGAACTCCAACTGATTAGTTTTCTTATATTCACATAAAATCCTGATCACTGACAATTCCATTCTCATTCATTTGTAATGAATTTCTATACAAAATGTTTATATAATAGTCCTTTTCTATCAGTAACATCATCCTTAATTCCTGATCACTGACAATTCCTTTTTTCTTAATTTTCGATGCACAATATACAGATGAAATTGGTTCAAACAAATTTTAGATCCCAAATTGCAAAACTGGGTTTTTAATAATCAAATTAGAAATTGTGTTTGTTAATACAGAAAATGACTAAAACTGAAATAGAAGACATGGCATAGTGATGAAGTCACTATGCCAAGTTGATGGCATGAAACTCTTATTCTTTCAATTGATGGATTCATTTTTTATGGCTTATCAACCTTTATTTAAAGCCAGAAAATATTTTTAGATTGTAAGATTTTTTTTTGAGATAATAATGATGTAGTAATACAAGTCATACTAATTAACCTATAGCTAGGGGAAAAAGAGGTGGATTCATACCTTTCCCAAGATTATTTGCATGTAAGTGAATATAATGAACCAGACCAGAATTGGAACTCTTCTCTCAGATTAACAATTCCAAACCATTATCCATTACACCATCAATACATCCAGACTTACAACACCCGATATTCTTATATGGTCACCCATCTAGGTACTGACCAGGCTTTATGTTGCTTAACTTCAGTGATTGTGCAGGAACCAATGTTTCAATGAGATATGGCTGTAAGCAGTTATTGTTTAGAGATAGTGCATTCCATAATTTGGGCATTGGTATAAAGAGGATTGTAACCAAACATTTTTGGAGGTAGAGGTTGTAGAAACAATTTTAGCAAAGGAAAGTAATCCATGTCTGTACAAGACAATATACCTTATTGAAGGCTGGCGTTAACTCAAAGCAGTTTCTAAATAGGGAGACTCTTGCAAATACATAGAGACCCAAACGAGCTCGGGACATTGCTACCACCAAACGACGCACATCTCTGGAAAAATAAAATTAAAAAAATTATTATTATTACAGAGAGAATATTAAGAAAAAAGGGATACATGGAATAGAAGAGGAGTAGCAAAAGAGAAGAAGGAAGAGAAAATGAAATAAAAAGGGAGGAGGAATGGGGAAAGTGTATGAGAAATGAGAGACAAAACAGAAATAGAAAAAGATCTAATGATTATTTATTTTTGATTTGTCTTTCTTTTGTCTTAGTTTTGTTACTTTTTATTACAAATCTCAAATCATTATTTTCTGACTTTTCTTGATCATCAGTGTTTGATTCATTTCTCTACAATAGAAAAATAATCAATGGCACTCAACGAACACTATAATGGTTTCCATATTATTCCCTAGAGATCATCCTATCTTGACCTGGCTTTCATATGAAATTAGGGTAGATAGAATATAATTTTAGAAAAAAATTAGAGTATTCAATTCTAGGACTATTCATTGATTTTCACGTTATTTTTAAAGAAAATATTAGTTCAAATTTCTTTAAAAAAAAACAAAAAAATAAAAAATTGGAAAATGTTTAACTTATATAATATTAAGTAATTTTAAGAAAAGTGGATCATCTGATGTAATGAGGCAAATTATAAAAAAAAAACTCAGATAAGAAACAGATCAAAAAAAATTTCCTTAAGGAAAATTCAGTAAACTGGGATCGTTGTGCCCCACCAAAAAAACAGTGTCAAAAGGACATTTTTTTCAATGACACCACTAATATTTTAGCTAACTACACTCCTCAGTAATGTTTATTTTGTTTAAAAAAGCAGTGACTTGAATTATAATAAAAACTTAAACATATGATTAAAGTGAATTTATACATTTTCTTTATTCTTGAGAATTGACAACAAAAATAATAAACACTACAATATTGTTTATTTGCCCCATTTATTAGATTGTTTATTGGAATGGTTGGCAAAACATCAACTAATTGCCAAATTATTTGAACTTTATAAAATGGTAAATAATAAGGATTTCCTTAGAGTTGGTTCACATGATTTAATAAATGTTTATAAATTTATGAATAAAAAATTGCTTTCATATTGATTTCTTTATAAATTAATAAATGATAAATATTGCATTAGTTTTAATTGTATCAGGTTTTAGAATATCTAAAGTACAAAATTGTATCAGTTTTTTTGTAAATATAAAATTATTCTTATAAATAAAGAATCTAATAAATATTAAATAGTGTTTTGTCTTTTGTCAATTCTCAAGAACAAAAAAAATTGTATAAATTCACTATCATTATATTTAATTTTATTACAATTCTAATAATCACTTTTTAAAACAATAAATATTGCCGAGGATGGAAGGTAGATTAAATAATAACAGTGTAAATGGAATAAATGTACTTTTAACACACAAATGTTTTGCGAGCACAAAGGTCCAAGTTTACCAAAAATTCTTTTTCTTTTTCACAAGAAAGTAAAAAAACCCAAAAGAGGGATTTTGTTCAACAATTATTTTTGATTCAAATGAACAAAATGCATTTTTTAAGCTGTCATTTTTTCTTTTCTACAAAAAATTGTTTTTACATTTTTTTGACCAGAGAGAAGAAAACATTCTTTAATAGAATATGAATATCACTTAAGGTTTGGTGATCATGAAAAAGAAGCTTGCTTGACAGTTTTTTTCATTATTTTTTTTTTTTTAAAATAGCAGCAGAATAAAAAAGCAGTTTAGTCAAAGTCAAAAACATGATGAAAATTACTATACAAAAACAAAAATGTGTTGTAAATCTAATTAAATGACCAGCTATTCAGTCAAACTTTACCAAAAAAGATTGCTAATAGGTCTACCTTGTCCTTGTTTTTATTTGCAATTTCACTTTATTATGTACTATTATGGACTATTATTATTATGTACTATTTTATATTTACCAACGATCCCCTTCCACTGAAGAGCTGGCCATTTAAGAAGATTTAAACCATTTTTTTTTTTTCAAAAGTAATTTTCAACATTTCTACTTCTTCATAATATACTTAAGTCTTGTATCACAAAGAAATTAATTAAATTCTTGTAAAGATATCTTTTTAATTGCCAGGACCCTGAAAATGCCGAACCGTTTCATTAATAATTGTCAACCATGCATTGAAATTGATTTTTCTTAGGAAAAGATAGTGGTTTCCCCCTACTGCCTTCTGTACAGTTTTGAATTCAAGAGTTGTTATTCTCCTCTTCTGATTACCAACCAAAGCTAGAGAGCCTAGTATGCCCTGTTATATAATCCATATCTGGGTCAAATTAGGATAACTTACCGTAAATGGCCAACAGCTTTCGTACGAACAAGTGAGAGGAGAATGTAGTCATTTTGTTGTCCTTGATAGCGATCAACAGTTGTCACCTGAAAATGATGAAAGAAAAACAAATTAGGAATTCAGTAAAAGCTGGAAAGGTCAGTTTTTATATTTTTAAAATTTCAATTTTTGTATTTTTCCACATATGATATGATCCCCAACACATATACAAACATGCACACAAACGCTAAACATGGAAACGAAGGGTTTTAAAATTCTCCAAAGTTAATAAATCTGAAGTGCCTAGTCCTTGTATACTGTAAGGTCTAGGGGCCAGTGCAGATTTGCTTTCCTTAAAAGAAAAAGTGTGTGTGTGTGTATGTGTGTGTGTATATATATATATATATATATATATATATAGTTTTAAGGTATACTATATTTATGTGTTAAAGTACTTAATATCAGGGATATAGAGTATGTAAATATAAAAGTGGACACTGAAGTGAAGTCAGCACACAGCAGTGACAGTCTGTTTCATGATTAAATACAATTGTCAGGATATGAAAATTGCATTTAAGTATGAAACAGATTATCGCCACTGGGTTTTGACTTTAATGTCTACTTTTATATTATATATATATATATATATATATTTTATATATATATATCAGAGAGAATACAAACAATAAATATTATATATTACATAAAGATAACTGAATTCTATGTAACATGTTTTGTGTTTTAAAAGTACTTCATCAGACTAAAGTAATCCACATGTTGATAAAATTATATGCAAGGGGAGATAAATGTACATGTGAGATATAATTCATATAACCGCCCCCTTGACAATTTGAATATGGTGAGATTGGAACAGAGGTCTCATGGTCAGAAGGCTAATACTCTAACATTTTGACCACACACACACACACACACACAGCAAGAAAGTGACCAGGATTTGTTAGGTTTAGTTTGGCTAATTTAACAACATATCAACCCTTGTTGGTTTGTTTAACATTGAAATCGTGAGTCAAGAAGTAAACATTCATCTAGTGTATACAAGTGTCCTTCCAGAGGGTAGTTTGCCCTTTGTGTGGATTCACAGTGATCTGAGTTATAAACTAACACTTGTCAATATTTGTTCTCAAATAAAGTTTTACCTTGTGTGGATGTCCAATAAATGGATTATTTCCACATCGTTGTGCAATGACATCCCTTATCAAATGTTTCTGCCCATTGTAAGTGGTTAAAATGGAGATCTTCTCAGCAGGGTAGCCAATAAGACGCATGTACATAAACACAGCCACAACATACTCAGCTTCAGCAAGATTCTGAAAAACAACAAAATAAAAAAAAACAATAATAAGTAACACTAGAAATATATATATATATATATATATATATATATTCATACATGTTTCATTAAATAATATAGACAAGTGTTGTCTATTTATTTTATGTAAATTCTTTTCATACCGTCTGATAAGCTTAATAACATTATCATTAAACGAAGAAAGAAAATCACAATATTGATCCATATTTTTAATCCAATCTAAACTTTCGGCTTACATAAGCCATTATCAAAGATGACAATTACTGTACAATATATTAAGCAATATACGGACAAGACAGTGATGATAGTCTGTTATTGTTTACATGAATGATAATGTTATTAAGCTTATCAGGTGTTATGAAAAGAAAAAAAAGGAAAGAAATGTAGTGGCAGGGAGAACAATTCTTAAAAGAAATTAACGTGGTAAAGTTAATAAGGTTACTAACTTTATATTAAATTAGATTAAGTTAGCTCTCTTCCTCTATATAATTTATAATTAATAGTTGCTAACGCACTACTCTAAAAATAAAATAAAATTAATAATTCGTAATAATAACTTATTTTTTATGTGCATATGGTAATATCAGTTATTTTAGTTGCTAGATTTAATGTCATGAGAAATATAATTAAGTTTTTGAAAAAATTATATCACAATATAAATAGTGCTTAACTAAGCCAGCATTACGATAAACTGATATATTTTCAAATTATATACAGTAAAACTCCTCAAATCTGAACATAGCACGAATTAGACTTCCTCGAATTTGGACTCATCTTCAAATCCGAACTTTTGTATTGACATAAATTTATGCTGGGATCACCCCCTCCAGACCAATAACATCAGGAAGTCTACTTCCTGACAAATCAGTCGTGGTGAGATTCGAACCCGGGTCTTATGGTTAGAACATTCTAACCACTCGGCTACATGCATATATATATATATATATATATATATATATATATGTATGTATGTATATCAGTGTGTGTGTGTGTGTGTGTGTGTGTGTGTGTGTGTATATATATATATATATATATATATATATACACACACACACACATACACATTAAGAAAAATCATACACAAATACACACAGTGCAAAAGAAAATACAATGTAGCACTGCCCTTATCTACCTATGATTGGGATCCCATTAGCAGTGGAAAAGAATGCCAACTATCACATGGCCAATATTGGCTAAAACCAGACCCTGTAACAAAAGTGGAGAAACCTGCAGTTTGTACTGAAGTAAAAAATGACTAATCTAACAGCAAATGGGTTGCCAGCTATTAAATAAGAGAAACAAGCTTATGTCCATATGTAGGACTAGGAATAACTATTTAAGACATACTTTCAAATTTCATTATTACACTCTATCCTTCCTTTATCCCTCACCCTCTTCTCAGGACTGCAGTATAGAAATGGTATTCTCTTTCCATCTATCTGCGAACATTTTTGTGTTCAGAAATTTTAATACACATCATGACACATGGCTTGAACATTCTAATGTTAATGATGTTGCCGGTATCCAGACTTACAATTTTTCAATTGCTCAATCCCTTACTCAAATTGTGGATTTTCCAACTTATTTCCCAAGAAAATTTGAGCAACAAGTTTCTTTATTCAATTATTTCTTACCTACATTCCTAGCCCTTGCCGAGCTTTGCAACACTGTTCTTTTGGCAACTCGGATCACTCTGTAGTATCTACTGATATTTCATTCCAATCATCTATTAGACGGGAATATCCTATTCATAAGACCTCTTTTCATTACCAGCATGCTGATTGGGATTATTTTCATGACTTTCTTCAAGACACCCCTTGTACTTACTTTTTAACCTTTATATTGAGAACTGCACCACTGAGGTTTCTTCTTGGGTCAAAGCTGGCATAGATGCTTTCATTCCTTCTCTGAAATATCAGGTGAAACCTTAATCTTCTCCATGGTACACACCAGTATGTTCTGCCACTATAGCCCTCAGGAACCACTATTTCTAAAATTACCAGTGTGTTTCCATCACAACAGGTGCCTATCCATGGCTGCACATAATAGATGTAAATGTGTTCTCAAAGGGGCTAAGTCTGTTTGCTGAGTGAATAAGGCACCATATTGCATCTAACAACTTTGGCTCTCTTGATTGCTAGCAGCTCTGTAATAATGTGTTAAATAAATATTCTATTCCTTCTCTCTTCAATCAATGGGAGGTGTTAACATCTTCTGCTGATAAAGCTGAATGTTTTGCCCATAAATTCTCCTTAAACTCTACTCTTGACTCATCTGGAGTCTCCTTGCCTAATTTCCCACTTAGAACCAAGTCTCTGTTGAGCGATATGCATATAACGCCTTCTATGGTTTTGGCTATCATCTCCATCCTGGATCCCCCACAAAGCATGTGGACCTGATGGTAACCCTGTAATAGCTCTTAAGAAGACTCCTCCCAAATTAGCTCCTGTTCTCTCTAAACTGTATAATAAATGTCTCAATGCCTCTTGCTTTCCTGCCTGTTGGAATCTTCATCTGTTGTTCCAGTTTTTAAGAACTAAGATGAACTGTCTGACCCTCTCAACTATTGGCCTATAAACCTTTTACCTCTTTTTGGGAAATTACTAGAGGCCTTAATCAATGCTGAATTGGGTAAACACCACACATCGTAGTGCCTTCTTTCAAGAAATACGGCTTTCGTAGTTGATGTAATTACAGAAGAATCTATCAAACTCTACATAAGAATGGTGAAGCTTGGTGTGTTATTTTGGACATCTTGAAAGCTTTCAACAGGGTTTGACATACAGATCTTCTCTACAAGTTGAAAAGTTACAGTGTCTATGGTCAAATTTTTGAATGGATCTAGTCTTTCTTATCAAATCCTGAAATGAAAGTTATCCTGAATGGCCATTTTTCTAAATCCTTTTGTATTAATGCAGGTATCCCCCAGGGCTCTATACTTGGTCTGACTTTGTTTTTAATTTTCATTAAAGATGTTCCCAATGACCTCAGCTCTCAACTTGGTATCTATGCTTATGACATTACTCCTGTCTTTATAGTAAGACTGATTAGTTCAATAAAGTCAAACCGATGGGTGATACCAAAGATGACCTTTACTTTGTTGTTAACTGGGGCAAAGGATAGCCTGTCAATTTTAACACCTCCAAAACAAAATTGCTCTCTATTAATCATCTGAGAGACCCCTTTCCACTTTCATCAGCATGGCTAATGCTAAGCTCTTTCACCTTCTTGGGTTTACATTCTCAGCTGACATGAAGTGTAAAGACTATATTGAATCAACTGCTAAGTCATCTGCTAAGAAAGTTGATTCACTGTGTCATGTTAGAAAATTTTTCCCTGAAACTATCTTGCATATATATATATATATATATATATATATATATATATATAAGCTCCTGCTTTATATCTAGAGATTCTTGATAAAATCCAAAGAAGAATCAGCAATATTAATGGCCCTGATCTAGCGTCTTGACTTCAGACACTTTTCCACCACTATAAAGTTGCTTCCCTGTGCCTTTTCTATAAATACTTACATGGTAATTGTTCAAATGAGCTCTTTGCTATGGCACCAAGACTTTATGAAGTGGACTACAAGACTGGCGACAAGGTATCAGCAATTTACAGTTAAGTTGCCCAGATGTAACCATAAGTTCTATTGTAACAGTTCCTTTTCTTGCACTCCATGCTTTCCAGTCAACTTTAATCTTCAAAAATTTAAATGCAATGTCAATCACTATCTGCTGTCCTCCTGATTACTCTTCCTTTGTTCCCCACTCCCTTGTATATTAGTGGCTTTACTGCCTTGCTTGGGGTGGGTGGGAGTGTAAATATGCTTAAAAACAAAAAGTATATATATACATTTTTTTTATCATTTTAAACATTATTTCTAGTGGATACTCATTGATTAGATTATATATATATATATATATATATATATATATATATATATATATATACACACACATACATACAGAGGGCATGATGGGTAAATTGTAAATTTTATATTTTTAATTTTTCGCAAGTACATTAGCACTCTGCGAGATATTTGGAAATGGCATGACTACTACTTGGCATTCATGTCAAAAGCTCCAATAAAAGCATTTCAGAATGTTTGGGTGTCAACCTGAGGACAATGCAGAAGATTTAGAAAGAGTTGGATGAGTCTAATGGTGATTATGAAGGTGTTTGGAGTAATCAATAGTGATGGCAATATTATGCCTCCATTAATCTTCCCACTGGATTTCACTCCACATGTAGGCCTACATCAAATGCCTTGAAGAAGTAGTGCTGCTGGAAGACCCTATGCCTGGTGACAAGACTCTGCACCATACCACACAAGCAGGAGAAGCCAATCATGGCTGTCAGACAATTTTTGCAACCTCATCAACCCTTACATCTGGCCACCTAACTCCCCAGACTGCAATCCCTTTGATTATTATGTGTGGGGCGCAGTTGAATGAGAGATCAACAAAACTTGTTGTAACACTAGAGATGAACTGAAGGCAAGGATTATGGTAGTATTCACCAACTTAAACAAGGGGACTATCCAGAAGAGTTGCAGGAGATTCCGAAGTTGTCTGGAGGCTGTGATTGAATTCAGTGGCAATTTTATTTAATAAATTTACTCTTTCATATTTTTAGGTATTTTTGTGTAATTTTGGTAAATATCTCTGTTAAAATGAGATGTCAGTGTTATTTTCATTTCTGCATAATTTAGACAATTCATCCATCACACCCAGTATACACACTCAAACGCACACATACACAAGGTATTACTGAAAAGTTCTTGGCTCAGTCCACTCCAAAACAGATTGAAAATGCACATGTGAATTCTTGGTTTTTGCCAAGGTTTTCAATACCAACCACTAGTATTTTTAAGAAACATACACTTACCTCATTTTATCCCTAAACTGAAAAGATGAAATTTCACAGTTTTGGATAAAATGAAAATTATAAAAAAAAAAAAAATCTCATATTTGACCGAAGAAGCTGCACTTGACCATTTGAACTAGTAAGAAAAACAATCAGTAAAAAAACAAATTTACCTGATAGAAAAATGGGTTTGGTTCTGATTCTCCAACTCCATTGAAATCCTGTACATCGACAAGTTGATAGTCATAGACAAAACCTGCATTGGCCATTTGGAATTCTGCAGATTCCAACACATGGGGTAGATTGCCAAGTTTACGGTAACGCCAGTTGTACAGATTGCAGATACTAGAAAACATAACACAATGAAGAAGAAGAAATTAATTAATAAAAAAAACAAAAAACATAGAATTTACTTACATAAGCAGATATTATTAATCAGAAACAACTTATCTCACCTTGCCCTTGCTCTTCCCTGGGCATCAAGGTCCACAGTGGGCACACCAAGTCGAACAAGTCGAGTAAATAAAGACTGCTCCATATTAGAGTATTTCTGGAAGGCCATGTTCTTGATCACAGGAGGCAATTGGTGGTGATCTCCAATCATGATCCAACGTTTTAAACGGTTTAGGCCATCTTCAGGATTCTGCAAGAGAACAAGGAAAAGTCTTTGTTTAAAACTGCAAGATCATATGAAACCAAGTGGTGACCATGCGTATACTGAAACCAGGTCAAAGTTTAAAGGAACAAATATATGAACATAAAAAGAAGTGGAACTAAACCACCCACTCAAGTGTACTTCTACCTCATCAAAATCTCAATTCTGACCTAGAAAATTCTATTTTAATGAAAGGTGAACATAATTTATACAGCTCAAGATGCACTAGAGGTGTAAAGATTTATGACTCGCTATCATTAATATATAAATGGGCTGTTACAATTTGTCCCATTTTCTTACTACTAATTTAGGACTGAAACAATGTGGGATACTTAGATTATGAGAAAATGAAGCTGAAATTAGTTAAAAGGTAATTTCCATAACGATAAAGTTAAAGTAAAAAAAAAATAAGCATTCAGGTGCTTAATGTGAATTGCATTTTGTCTCACTAATGTAGATTTTGTTCTTGCGAAAGAAAATTCTTTTTCTTACGATGTCAGTTAATCAACAAAACATGACAAAGAAGTTTTAAAAATAGTCTTATTTAACATTCTGCAAGATTTTCAACTACACACACACATATATATATATATATATATATATATATATATATATATATATATATATATATATATATATATATATATATATAATTATAGCCTGAAGATTGCATTCAAGCATGAAACAGAATGTCACTGCCCAATGTTGACCTGTGTCTACTTTCATAGCTGTCTTTGATATTGATCACTTTTACCCATAAATTAGCAAATCATCTTATTATTATATATATATATATATATATATATATATAAAATGTTAGGGAGGATGCTATCAATTCAAATCTCATTAATAAAAGAAAGCAAAAACATTGTCATTTATAGCAATATTGATGAAAGTCTACTCATAAAGTTCAAACTCTTTTTGATTATAAAAAAAAAAATTACACCTTCAAATTTTTTTTTTAATCATTTCACCCCAAGCAAGGCAATAAAGTCACTAAGATGCAATGGCTTACTGAGTGTCAGAGAATATAAAAAAAACTTTATGAAAAAGAGAGAACAATAAATGAAGGAATTAAGAAGACAGAAGATAACAATGATCAATGCACTAAATTTTTAAAAATCATAGTTGAATGTGAAGCAAGAATCCGGGACATAGTTACTTAAGCAAGAATGGCAAAAATATATTTTGAAAACAAATCATTAACTTTTGTTATAAATACATTTAAAAAAAGAAATACATTCTCAAAATAAAAATAATTTTTAAAATAATTAAAATTCATTTTTAAAACATTAAAATTTTTAAAAGAAATCATTAACTTTTGTACCCAATTAATTACTCAGGTATTTTTATTTAGTAGTATTTTTATTAAAAAAAGAACAAAAATAAAAAAAATATTTTTTAAAATTATTTCTCTACAGCCAAAGGAAACTACATAAAATAGATAATGATTATTTTGATTTACCTGCAATAGGAGAGGGATAAATGTTTCAATCTCCAAAATTTGGGCAGCTTCTTCCATCAAGATGTTATCAAACTGAAAGACAAAAAGTTAGAAATTGTAAGTGTTAAATTTTCACCTTGATGCTTAATGGATATAAATTGTTTTGTCATTTACACACATGTACAATTACAACAAAGGAAGATTTTTGTGCCAACAATGATCCTTAATGTTTACTTAATGTAAATAAAACAAAAATTGAAAAGTTAATCATAAAAAAAAAAAAGTTTTTTTAAAGAAACTTGCTGATTTACTTTTTTTTAATTGTCATGTCCTTTCATGACAAGAGATCGATTATGATTCCATTTCTTTATCATCATGAATTACCAGAATTTCTGAGAAGAAATAAAATGATTTTCAGTTGCCATCTACATTGTTTTGAATTGAATTTAGAGCTGTCCTTCTGGGAACATGCAAGAGTGGGGGGGTTCTCTCTTTGTCTTTCACCAACTAGTCAAAACAATCCCTACATTGTGTTTAGCCCCTTGTTAGCATAGCGTCAATGTGTACACAAACTAGAAAAGACTAGCAGTAGTACTAGAACTGTAAGATGAAATCAACATCAAGAAATAAAGACGTGAATCCCAGTTCTGAATAATTTGGTGTTCATTTCAATTATGTTCCCTGGTTGGGCCTAGAATTCTGTATGGTGGTAAGTAGATGGCACATAGGTCCCTTCAACTCTTCTTACATCAATCAACTGACTGCTACCCACGTGATTAGTTGGGTAAGCACCTCCTATGTCTAACCCTAACTTGGCCCCTTTTTCTCTTTACTATACCCTTCCCCTTCACTCACTTTGAACCCTAGATTTCAAAGACTATCTTTCAGTCATTAAAACAAAAAAATGACACTTCTAACTCTGATAACATCAGTTAGGGCCAACTTGACTTCATGTGTATTCAACCATTCATATGGAGGACCTATAGTGCCACACATCTCCTAGACAGGCTACCACAACTTGAGGAAGAAGAGATAGATTGTTTCTGTTCCTAAGATACTTAGTTAAAAAGTGAACACAAGAGATGAGGCTGGGATCTGAACTTGGCTCCCCAATTCCATTTTCCATGACTGTACATTGAAATTGATAAGAGGAAGCTTGTAGGTTTTTAAAGCATACATCAAAGAGTGAATAAGTAAATCTTTTAAATGATACAAAATTTTTTTTACCTTAAAGCCAACTTGTACCAAATCTCGTCTTTTTAAGGCAGCATGAGTACATGTCATAGCAATAATTTTTGTTTCTTTAATGAGCAAGTAATCAGCTCTGTCTGCTCCACTCCGAAGCAACTCAAATGCTCGGAATTCCTGTATGTAAAAAAAAATAAAGACATTTTTTAAAAAACAATAATATTAAAAAAAACAAAGTAAACCAAAAATACTAAGTGCAGTGTAGTTTTCTATGCTTAACAGGAAAGAGGGTGGCAGCCAAAACATAGAGACATTATCCTCATCAACAACACAAAGAAAGAATTTATCTGAACAAAACTTTCAATGTTAATGATTCTTTGGAAAATTATAGACAATAGAAGAATAAATACACCTGAAGAAAGCTGGAGAATGAATTTTCTGCTGGAATATTTTCTTTGTTTAAAATAACTGAGAATTAGGGAGGTCATAGTTAGAGTATCAAAGAAACAGAAGACTAGGTAGGGAAAACAAAGAAGTTTATTAAATGCTCATACATAGAACAGAAAAAAAACTTGAGTAAGTCAAATACTACTCAAATCCTACTCTAATGTGACTACTTGTCATCTTTGTAAGTCGGAGCAGTCCATTGTCACAATAGTAGGGAAGAGCAGGAAGTACACAGAGTCACATTGGCCAAAATGTTGATGTAACCTCATTAATAAATAATAAATAAAGTCTGATTGAAAAAATCTTGCAATGTTAGTGATGTGTTTTTTCTCAAATTATAGATAATACAGACAGAATTTAATGACCATGAACAGGACATAAATGACTTTAAGCAAATGAAGCCTGTATGCCTTAACAAAGATCACATTTCTTTGAATCTTGTAGATGGGTGTTTGAAAAGCACAGACAAAAAACTGTGCCAAATAACAGAAATCACTTCATTTGAGGACTTCCAATAGCATCAACAATGAAATGGATAACCATGAAGAAAAAAATAATGATATAATCAAGGTGTTAACATCCCCCAATATTTCAGACAAAAATTTAGCAGACGAGCCACCATCAACACTGGAAAGAGTGATAACAGGTAGTAAACTGCTCAGTTAATGAATGTCAAAACAGATTATAGTCCTTCATACTTACTTCAAGTTGTGTGAAGATCTTTTTGATATGTCGGAAACAGCCCTCTGCAATGTCCAAATCTTTTTCATAAGACTCTCCTGAGAATAAAGGTTGTGGAGCATTGCTGAAGAATTTAGTAAATGGGAACAGTTCCTTGACAATAGTTTTATTGTCTTCCTGAAAATGCAAGGAGAAAGAATTTATTAAAATAAACAAATAAAATATCAACTATATGTATGAGTGTGTGATACAAATATTCATAATAATTACATTAATTATTAAACCAATAGCAATGCAATATTGTACATTGTCAAATCAGTAATTATGCAGTCAGTATTAAAGAAACAAAACATCACATGTACAAATATATTAAAACAGAGAGCACAGTGAGAATAATGATCAGAAAAGAATATTATTCACAGTAATATTTTAAAAGAAACAAAAGAAAGAAAGAGCTAACCAGTTATTGTTCCTCGCTCTTCAGAGCTCAACTGAAGACAATGACTAAATAAGTGGGGGGGGGAGACTACCAGAGAATCAGCAATAATATAAATCAATAAAAGATTACATTAAAACCCAGTAACCATTCCTTCCACTTTGCCAATATTTTTTTTATAATTCAACATCCTCTCGCTTCCCAAGTCCTGTAATATAGAGAAAGTTTTTCCAACATGCACAAATTTATTGCCTCTTCCACTATATACATGTTCTGTACTTAAAATTTCTTATTTGATGTTGGGTCTGGTACTGAGTGGGAAAAGAAGTTCTATAAACACAAACTGAGTCAGCCTAAACAATGAAAGATACACCAATGCCAATATCTGTTTATATCTCTGAGATGAGGTATTATGATTACTTACATTATTTACATTATTTGGACCTGTTATCCTCATCTTCAGTGTCATATTCACAACATTTTGGCCATTGTACACTCCGGCCTTCTTCAGATGACTGGACACAAGGTGTTGGTTAGATCCAGTGACCAGATCCAAAGAGTTGTAAGTTCAATACCAGACTACAGCAGTAGTGAACCAAAGCCTGGAGAGTTGAGTTAAAGGGAAATAACAGAGACATCCAGAAGATGCATGGCATGTGAAACTAAAACAATTTACCCCAGTGGACAAAATAAAGTTTTCGATTTGAAATTCGAATCACCTAAAGAAGGCTGGAGCGTACAATGGCCAAAATGTTGTGAATATGGCAATGAAGATGAGGATAACAGTCTGAATAATGTAAATAATGTAAGTAGCACAAATGCAAATACATCATCAACTCATCATTGAAGGTTTAAAGAGTCAAGGTGAGCCAGATCTATCCCAACAGCAAATGGGAAATTTTAAGTACAGAATATACTGCCTATAGTAGAAAAGATAGAAGAGTTTGCTATATTACAGGGCATGAGTAGCAATATCATCAGTTGGGGTCTTGTTAAATTACCTGTCACAAAAATGGATTCAGAACATTTCTTTTCGACTGATGGTTATTAGTATCCTTCAAGAACAACCCAGACAAAGAGAAGTCAATGCATGAAGATAAATTGTTTTTTTTAAGATAAAAATGACAGGACAAAAAACCATGTTAGCTATAAAACTCACCAGTACTATGAAGAGACACACAGAGAGACGAAGTAGGCCTCAGAGAACAGACAGGGAAAACACCTGTTAGACAGTTCACTCTCCTGCCTCCCTCAACACTCACCCACACACACCTCATCTCAACTTCGCTCACTTATAGCCATAGGTTACAAACCCAAGAATAAAATCTGGTTTAGTGCTAGAAATTGTTTTGTCTTTCACTTGTGAGTAACGATCTGGCTGAAGTATAATTTTTAAGCCACAAGTGTTTGACTGGAAAAAGCTGCATCCTATCAAATGAACCTAGTGTCTGGCCTGAGCTGCAATGCAACACATGCAAGATGAGAGGAAAAACTTATGTCTACATGTTGACAGAAGAGAATGTTTCTGACAAAAAAGTCTAAGCCCAGGGTGATTTGTAGGGATCTCTTATTCCTCACATTTTTCTTTTTCCATTTACATCCTGACCCCACACAAATTATGGCTTACTATTGGTACTACACATTACAATATATCATATATGTTAATCCCATGGCTGAGGACAGAAACTACCACACAATCAACTCTCAATTCTCCCTCTTCCTATATTTTTGTCTCTGTTAGCATGTAATTGTTTGTTCCTCATTAATTTCTGATGATTGTGGTGTTACATATGAAACAGTCGCAGAAAATAATTGGAGCACACATAAAGTTCATTATTTTTGCTTTGTATTTTGTACTGTTTACTGCATTGGCATCTTTGATGTACATTTTGTAATTGTATTTTATATATATATATATATATATATATATATATACACACACACACACACAGGGTGTCTCAAATAAATATATACTCATTTTGAAGCTTTCTCAAGAAATAATTCAAGCAACTAGAACCAACTATATCTAATTTAAATAATGCAAATGAAAATGGTATTTATTATAAATGCATGCTCTTAAAATTTGTTATTGCATGCTTTCAAATTGAGGTCTTTTATGATCTAGACATTGCTGACAATGCAATGCAATGGAAACAAAAGCAGCAATCAACATTTCGATAAGTATTTAGCTGCATTCTTGCTCTATGGAAACTTTAGCGATTGTTGTTGGTTTTGTAGTGTAGACTTTATGTTGTAATTGTTCCCCCAAGAATAATTTTAAATGGGAGTGAGGTATGGTAAACAAAGAGGATATTCTAATGAATCTTGCCTTCTAATCTAACTGTTTGGCAAGATTTCATTCCGGTATGTTTGTACATAATGATGGTAGCTTGGTGGTGCTCCATCTAACTGAAAATAAAATTCCTCATCCCCCAAAACTTCTTGGCATTATAGGGTTAGGGTTAATGTGTACACATTTTGAGATACACTATAAAGGAACAACAAAAATATGCTTAAAAAGTATATATATATATATATATATATATATATATATATATATGTCAGGACCCAGTGTGTGTGTATATACACATACAAATATAGAAAATATATTATTAATAGTTCAAAACTTGATCTCTTCAAAGTTGTCCACCTTCTGTTAAAAAAAAAATACCTTTGGTACCCCTTATAGAGAATTTTGTAATTACCATTCTTTGTGAGTGTTGGTTTTGATGTAAGGTAAATGTCATTCACTAAGTTAGACATGAATAAAACTCACCATGGTCACAATAGTATTTACAAGTGGAAGCAACTGATTAAACACCAAATTATACAATTCTTGAACTAAAATTTGTTTTAGCATTCAGTCTGTATGATTGCATGGTGAAAATCAAAGACAGGGATTGTTAGGGGTCAGGAATGCAAATATTATTAACAGAATAGGGCTGTTATATGTATAATGTAAATGCCTAGCTAATGATTTGATGATAGAAATGCTTACTTATAAGTAGAAAAAAAAATAATTACGTTTGATTCTGCTCCTTTAATCTTGCTAAGAAACTCTTCCCATCGTGCAAGGACCTGAAATTAAAAAAGTAATCAGTATAGTAATAAATTGTTATTACTAATTGTTGCCAAAAAACTGATGACAATATTTATGAGGGGAGGAAGTTGTTGAAAATTTCTTAGTCTCACCTACTTTCCTGCTCTCTTACTTTATGAAAATGACATTTACAGTCAAAGAAACAGAAAAAAAAAAAAAAAAAAAAGCCAAAAAAAATTATGTCATATGTCTTACAAAATTTAATATTTTTTTGCCTACCATATTTTCTTGTGTATAATACAAGAAATTTTAAAGGCATAAAAGAGGCAGGGGTCATATTATACACAAGTACATATTTTCAGAAATTTTTACTCAACTGAAAAAAAACCCAAAAAAACTCTTATTTGAAACAGCTAGATTGCAAATATACTCAGCTAGCAAAATAGATAATAGAACAATAAGCAGGCAAGCATTAATAATTGTTTACAAAAAGGAATTTGATATGTCTGCAATATTTGTTCTTTGGGAATTAGCTTCTCAAAGACAGGAAATTCACCAAAATTTATTAAAAATAATAAAGGGAATACACAAGATCTGTCATGTTTTGATAATATTAATGTTACAAGAAAATACGGTAGTTTAAATTGCACAACCATTTTGATTTTATTGATAAACTGACTTGTACAGAATGAAATCCTTAAAATAGAGAAAATACTTTTAATCAAGTTCACACCTAATAGATAACTATTATAATTTATTGTAGGAGATCTACCTAAAAGAGTTAATCAAATTACTGGAGTTGCTCTAAAGCAACATTTCACAACCCAGGCAATATTACCCACAGGGTCGGTGATTTCAACTCTTGGGTGGGTGATGAGCAACTGAAAGGAAAATGGTGGGCAATTGGAAATTTTGAAGGGCAATATAGGGTTTTGAGCATTAAAAAGGTATTACAAAATAGGCTACTTGAAAAAAAAATATTCAAAGGAGATATGCAAATAACTTGTACTAGCTAAAAACAAAACAAAAAAAAAACAGGATGCTAAATGCGAATAACTAGGTCACATTTCCTGATAAGATATAATTATCCCTGTAAGCAAGGTATATTTTAGTATTTTCTATAGTTTTGAGAAGGGTCATTAATATTCAAGTAGTTCTTCTGTATTAGACATAACAAAAACATTAATTGAATTTTAATTAGTTGCTAGTAGTGTATATTCTTTTTAATTTTACAATTATAAACAAAAATTGTTTAATTTTTTCTCAACACTTGCAACACTAACCCTAAAACTAAATTATATATATATATATATATATATATATATATATATAATCAATGGTCAACTTTGCTTTCATTTGTTCTTCAATAGTAGCAGCAGTCACTGCCTAAGTCAGCATTATTTGTTACCTCCCTTTGATATTTTTTTATACAATACATCATAAAGTCAGTTTACAAACAAGTAACAAATTTTTACCAAACAATTTTGGTATACTTTTGAATATTTATTATACAGGTGGGTGATGGAAAATTTTTCCAAGTGAAAGTGGCCGATGACGCCAAAAAGATTGGAAACACCTGCTCTAAAGACTAACAATATTAAGGAACATTTCAAATTTTTTAGGCAACTTACAGCATGTAGATATTTGTTGAAAAAAGAAAACAAAAGCTAAGAACTTACCTGATACAGGTAAAAATATCCCGCAGTTTCACAGGTGTATGACATGTCTCCAGAGACATTCAGACTCTCTTGCAGTCGAGCCACTTCATCAAGCAACTCTAGACGCTGTGCAAGGACATAGTTCACACGACCATACCTGGAATTTGTGTTTTATTTTTAGTTTAAATTATATTGCTTATAGTAAAATGGTTGGAAGCAACTTTAAAGGATTTATTACACTTCAATGTTGAAAGCATCATATAGACATCTACATTTATGCAAATATAAGCTTAACTAGTACATATAGATAAGCCAGAACATTATGACCAGTAATATGTAGCAAGAATGACAACTACTGTTTCATAACAATTATACAAATCAGGATCAGGGATAAATAAGCAGATAAACTGGCCTTGAGTATTTAATTTTGATGTATTGAATTCTGTAGTTATAAACACAAAAGATTTAAGTAACAGACCATTTCCAAAATAGCATGTCTCATAGGGTGTGATGAGTACAATGATCCAAGGAGGGTAAAAATCTGTTGAATTGATAAATATAATCCATTAACTTAGAAAATTACTTTGTTGATGTTTGGATATGAAACTGTAATACAAAAGGGATTTGACTTAAAGGCACTTTGAAATTTTTTTAGTCAGCAAGGCTTCTCTGTGGACAAGTCGGTTAAGGCATATCAGATCTAACAACAGTGTCTCTCTGCCCAGAGGGACGCAGTTTCAAATCCTGCTGGAGAGTGCCTATTTTTCTTTAATAAGATTACTCAAATATTCAGGCCAATAGACAAAAATAGATTATTATATTGTTTAATAAATAAATGGAGTGTCTTCTACTCAAATATGAGTATCCACTAAAAAATGAAGTTTAAAGTGATGAAAAAATATGTGTGTGTGTTTAGAATTACTTAACTCAGTCCAGTTTTTTCATTTTTTTATTAAAAAAAAAAAAAAAAGAATATGTATTTGAAATTAATTCTTATTATAATAATTGCTGTTGATGCCAGTATATTTATGATCTTTCAAAAGCTCTGTTTATAAAATTAAAAATTTGCATATGGGGATCAATACATTCATAACTTGAGATGCATTTATAAGGTTATTTCTGATCTGAAACTTTTAATGTATAATGTTCAATCTTTGTGATTAATATTCCTTATTGAATTAAATGCATTGACAAGAAAGGAGATTATGTTGAGAAATAAATATTGTGTAAAATAAATTCTTAGATCATCAATCATTTGCAAACTCCACTAGAATCCTGAGTGTTAAAAGTTATGTTTCTTATTTTATTGGAAATAAATTTGAATTTCTTTGAAAATAAGTTCTGTTTGTAAGCACAAACATATGAACAAAATATGTAATTTGTATTACATTTTATAAATAAAATATATAAGTTATAAATAAAAATAAAAGCTAACATAAGGGATGAGATTACACATCATAAAGGTAACACAGTTTTTGGGGGGTGGGGGTATATGCATGCTATTATAGTATTTAAGTTTGGGATGGGGGGCTAATACATTATTTTACATAATAATGGTAATATATTTGCGGGAGATACTAATATAATAGTATAGAGCAGCATTTCTTAAACTTTTTTCATTGCTGACCCCATTTTTCATCACAAGATTTTACATGACCCTGTCGGAGTTACCTCCTCCTTCAGTTTGTAACCCTTTCACCAGAGGTCTCTCTTTCCTGGCTATAAATAGCCAATGACCCTTAACCGATCTCTTTTTTTACTTTTCAGGCTTGTGCACTAACGCACCGAGGTAAATTTCTCTTCTTCCTAGAGGATTTCAACTATCAACCTCAAAATGTAGTCCCTAACAAGAAATAGCGTGAAATCACGCTAAGCACAATCCCACACACGTTCTTTTACACGGAATATTCCCACACACTTTGTCCTTTGTACTGTTTTCTTGTATTGTAACTTGTTATGAATATATATTTGTTGTGTATACATATATTATCGGTCTTGTTTTGTTTGCTTTCTTTTCCTTCTTCTTTGGACTTAACCAAGTCCAAACTTTTTATGTAGTTGGGCCGGCTAGCAGGAGAATCTGAACCTTACAGGCGTTTCGTCCACGTCTGTCTTCTATCAACAACATACCAGCCATCGCTATACACCTCTACAAACGGCCCACTCTACATGACCCCAGGTATTAACCAACTACACTGAAAATACATATGTTGTCAATGCACTGGTTACAATTGCACTGCATGTGCATTTTATTAGTGCATCACTTGTGTGGCACATCACATTATATATTTTTTATTTGTGAAATAACATAAACTGAAAATCAAGTGTTTGAATTTAATTTTCATGACCGCAGCATTTTGGGACACAACCCATAGTTTAAGATTTTGGATTTTGGTACAGAGCAATATATACAAATGAATGAAAATATTAATTATGTAATACATGATTACAAATAAAAAATAAATGCTAATATAGCAGTCTGAGGGTAATATGGGATTACATATAAAATCAAATGCTAATATTATAGTCTGTGGGGGAGGGGTGATATTTTATTGCAGTTAAAAACATTCTAATGTAATGCCAATATTGTAGTCAAGGGAGGTAATAAGTTATTAAACTTAAAAATAAATGCTAACATAGAGTGTTTAGTGTCATATCAATTCCTTATGGGTCATTTAATACCAAAATTTAATTTTCTTGGGAGCATTAGTAATTTCACTTACAAAAATGTATTGCTGATATTTTTACTATGAAAATCTACTTTTATTGTTTAATAGTGTTTTGACTCCAGTTTGCTCATAGTTAGGACCCTAACAAGCACATCCACTCTGGGTTAGAGTGGACCTGGAAGCAACAGCAATTAAGAGGTGATTCCACGCTACTCAAAACGTCCTGATTAGAGGCCTTGGATGTAGTTTATTGCCATTGTCAGAATGGGCAAATATAGACATTGTGGGGTTAATTTAAAAGTCAGGGGTAATAATATGTGATTACATATAAAAATGAATGCCAATAATGAGGGAGTAACAGATGAATTTTTGTATTCCAAAATGAAAGCATGCCATTACCTGCTATAATCTTTTTCTGTCTCTAAAGCTTCTTCACCATGACCAAGACGAAGAAGATGACGTTCATCAATGTCCAAAGCAATGATCTTCTCAAATAATTGATTGAGAGCCTAAAAGCAAATAGAATGATACAAATGAATTCCATTAAAATGTTTTAAACTTTTGGAAAGACACTGAAAAAGAAAGCTGAAATAGTTTTTCAAAAATGGATTGTAAAGAAATGGTGGAAATCATTTTGACAGAACAAAAGTAACTTCTTCAAAATTAATTTTTTTCATAGACATTTTAGCAAAACTAAGTTGACATTTTTCATTTGAATATCTGAGGACCACAATTGAAAGTTATCATTTTAAACCAGAATTCTTATATACTGTGTTGCACTATTTCTGCTAATAACAGATGGAACTCATATAAAATTAATTCTCTTAAAAATTTCAGTCAGTGTGAGTTTTGTGTATCTGTGAGGGGCCAAACTGCTGAGGGATGGATGCTTTTATAGAGACAGCATCTTTTAGATAGATTGTCAATCAAGGCTAAGGAGTTTGTATCTGCCTGTTAGGTGAGGACTCATTACTTTGGGCTAGCACAACCATTGACAGCTTCTGAACAGTTATAACTACACAATTTCTCTCTGGGAAGTGTAAGAGAAGAAAACTAGAATATAACTAATGGTTCCATATAGCAATTTCAAGTGTAAAAGGATGACACTTAGCTGCCAATCAAGAACTATGTTTAAATTCATTAAGTCAAGGTACCAAAGATGAGAGCTCACCAGAAAAATCACCATGAAAATATCTATAGAAAAGGCACAGGGAAGCTATGTTACAGTGGTGGTAAAGTGATTGAAGTTAAGATGCCAGGTTAGAACTGATAGCATTGCAAATTCAGCTTTTGAGTTTGTCAAGTATTTCTCAATACATAACTGAAGCACCAGACCAGATGTGGTGACAATATTCAATGCACAGTTTTATGGGAAAAAAAAATTATATTTACTCTTGATGATCAGATCAAATATAATTTGCCAGGGGCTTACAGCCATATAGCATTGAAACACTCATTCCCATATAATCACTAAAGTTAAGCAATGTTGAGCCTGGTCAGTAACTAAATGGGTAGCTACTTGTGAACACCAGGTGCTGTAAACCTGGATGTGCAGGTGGTATAATCAGAGAGTAGAGTTTCAATTCTAATCAGGTTCATTATATTCAATTTACAGTAATACTTGGAAGAAAAGTGTGTAGAGTGTGGTCATCTTACCACACCGCAAAAACAACTTTTTGGAAACAGTCATAACAAGTAAGAAATTGTGGATCTATGGCAATGACCCTGAAACCAAGGCTCAGTCTTTGCAGTGGACTCCAAGACTGAAGAAAATACAAATAAGTCGAAGCAATGTGAAGATACTGTTGACAATTTTCTTCAACTACAAGAATACATCATGAGTATGCACCACCTGGTAAGACAGTAAACAAGGCGTACTCCAGTCATGTGTTGTAGCCTTGGTGGGATGCTGTTCATCAGAAAAGTACAGAATTGCATATATGTACGATGATTGGCAACTCCACCATGATAATGTACCTACTCATTCGGCGCAGCTTGTACAGCAGTTTTTGGTCAAGCACAATATTCCCCAGGTCCGACAACAAACATATTCCCCAGATCTCATCCCTTATGACATTTTTGGATAGCAAGCAGCTGCCCCATTTTACAATGGAGCAGCTGCTTGCTATCCAAAAATAAAGAGCTCTAGGAATGCTTCCTTCAATGAAAACAATGCTGGATAAAGTCTGTGGCTTCAGAAGTGGCCTACTTTGAAGGAGATTAAGTGCCGAATTGATATGTGTTGTAGTTTTCTTTTTATAGCACCAGTCTCACTATTTTTGATCAAACCATGTATATGTAATTAGAGTGAATAAAAATTCAATGATATCATAACGTCTAATATATTTATAAAAAGGCAAATGAATAAAACAAAATCTACTGACCTGGTTGGAGTGGGTCACAATGAGTGTCCGTTGATCAGGGAAATTGTGGTAAAGGTTAGAAATGATTTGCACTGCTACATCAGTCTTTCCTGTTCCTGGGGGTCCAACTACCATTGTCAGTCCAGGTTGCATTCCAGCTCGTATAGCTTCAATTTGTGTTGGAGTAAATGGCACTGTATTTCTGGAAACAAAAAGTACATGTATATGATTAATGATATTTGATCTTAAATGAATTAAAAAGTTCTGATTATTATCTATTTATATATATTACATATAATATAATGATCCTATCCTGTCAGTATAAATTGCATTAATTCCTGACCATTGAGAATTCATTTTCTACTTTCTTTGCAATTCATTTCTATCATTAATGTTTATATATTCTTCATATAAAAGTTCTATTGTCTCAGTAACATCTTTATTAATTCTTAACTACTGACAAACTTTTCCATTCTTATTTGCAGTTTATTTCTAAAGTAAAAGTTTACATAGTTTAAATATAACAACATGAAATCAAGATGAGGCCCACCATAAACAAATTCACATTATCGGCACTTTCTTCTACTTTGATTTTCTTCCACTTCTAACCGACACTTGCAAAGCCAAATGGTGACAAGGAATGGATGATGGGAGCAGGTTTTGATGCAACAGGAAACTTCTAGTCCTGAACCTACACATTGGCGGCAAATTTAGTCATCAACCCTATCATCATAAATAAAGCAATCAGCAAAGAAGAAATTAAATTCTTGGATATGAGATAAAGCCGACAATGAATAACCCTATCCAGCAAGTAATGTTTGCATTCATTCCTGATTACCACATATTCTTGAGGATAGTGCAAGTTTTTATGATCAGATTTTTACACAAAAAAATGGGAGGGGTTGCACTACAGTTACCATTTTATATTTTTAATTTCACATATGCATATTTGATGTTTGTTTTTGATTTTGTCACAGTATAGTAGGGTCAGTTGGGCACAGACTGTGAGAAAAAGAGCACCATGATGCAATTCACTCCTGAAGAAATTTGGAATGGTATGCTGTATTGGAAGCTCCAATACAAGATATTTCAGAGTGTTTGGGTATCAATCTGAGGACAGTGCAGAGGATTCAGAAAGAGTTGGATGAGTCTAAGGGTGATTACGAAGGTGGTTGGCATGATCACAACATTACACTTCCATTCAGCTTCCCACGGGGCCTCAGACTCAACAGTGAGGCCTACATTAAGTGCCTTGAGGAGATAGTGCTGCCCTGGGTCAAGAGGGTGGCTGCTGGAAGACCCTATATTTGGCAAAAGGACTCTAATCACAAAACAAAGCTACTAAGTGAAGAGATGGTTTTCTTCTGCAAGGAAGTGACAATCATATATATATATATATATATAACATCCTATCTTTTGTTTTTTTTTGTTTTATTTGCTGTCTACATTTTTCAAAAGAGAGGAATGAAAACTGGTTAAGCCTTTGTTTTTTTCTTTATCCCTCTTTTTTTTCAATTTACCCCTTTACAATAACTATACAGTAAAGTGTTTTATTCTTTCCTGCAGTTTCATTTTAATATGTCCATTTTTACTGCACTTCTTACATAACTTATAGTTTCTAGTTTTAACTGAAGTAATGATTTCATCTTTAAAGCTTAACAATTTATGTCTTTAAGTCTCTTACCTTTTCGGCTGACTGCAGGCATAAGGCCCTCTGTTTGGGATGATGTGAGACTCAGCCTGCATATTTGTCTTTGGGGACAGCTCATCATCACCAAGTTTTCGTTTCAGGGTAGATGGCTCAGCTAACATAGTTAATCTGGATAGTTTGAAAATAAAAACAAAAAAAATATGTTTGTTATTACGAGTAACAAAAAGTAATAATTTTATTCTTTAATTAATCATAATGCAACATATCCAAATTTAATATCTCACTCCTAGAAATTGTTACATTTAACTAGAAATGGCATGTTGTGCTTTTTATAACTTCTGATGATCTCAAATGACCTGCAAGGTAAACTTATTACAACCTTGTGAGTCATCAGAATAAAAATTAGCTTTGAGTGTGATCAAGAAACTTCCATGGCTTGCTAAGAGAGTACAACAATTATATTTTAGATATATGAAAAGAAATGTTTAAAAAAATAAAATAAAAAGGAGAGTTCAGAAAGAGATGACCATTAGATAATAAAGGTACAAAGCCAATTTCCTAGCATCCTTGGTTCCAAAATCGTACCAGCTGATCCATTTTGCTGGAACAAGAGAAGTCATCTAATAATTTAATAATACACCTACGACCCAATAATTATGCCTCTTTCATAACTCTACAGCAGTAATTCCCAAAGTGGGCAGTACCACCCACCTGGGTGCAGTGGAGAGAGCCAGGTGGTGGTGAAAGAAAGTAGACAATCAGAAGGTGGCAGTATCACATCTGAACTATAACATACACCATACATACAGACCCCATACCTGAAGTGCATCTTGCTTTCACTTTACAGTGCATCCCATTTACATAACGATTATTATGGGAAATACTAATATATTCATTTGACATGCAATACTAGCACCAAGAAAAGCCATTCAAAGATTGACTATACATTGGGGAGGGGTTTGGGCTGTTTTGGCATGCAAGAGGGTAGCAACACCAAAAAGTTTGGGAACACTGCTCTAAAGTATTATTGACTGCAAGAAATTTATATCAAATTTATGAAACTTATTTTACACACAACTTAGTTTGGTAATTCATGTAAAATTAAAAATTTTTAATTTAGAAAAAAATCTTTTTTTAAAATGAACATTTGACCTCTGCTGTGATCACAGAGCCCACAATCCCTTGCAACAATTGTGAATTACAAAATCTTTTCAATGGTTGTATAGTATATGCTTTATAAGGGCTACAAAACAGTTTTGAATTGATAGTTGTCCTTCTCCTGAACTGGTTGCCAACCAAGGCTAAAGATCCCAGTTTACCCTGCTATTCAAGCCAGTCTCTGACATAATTTGAACTCAGCTTGCTGATTTCTTTGTTCTGAACCGCTGATACACCACCTACATATCCTAGATTCAAATGTTTGTTTGTAATTTTGCCTGAGGTTTATTCCTTGTTTCCTGTTTAGTATTAAGTTTCAAGTTCTTTCTAAAGTCTACTTCAACTCTATACTTCTAAGATCTCTGCCTAAAATCTGATATTTTATTTACTATTTATTTTTATTTTTTTTCCTCAATAGGGGTAGACAGGTTTTTCAATCATCCAGTTCACACATCCTCCCCAGTCTTTTGAACAAGAGTAGAGGTTTATCCTTCATTTCTTATTCTGGATTGGGTTTCCAGTTCCTTTTAGTCTTCTCATTCTCTTTCAATCCCAGTTGCCCCTTGGCATTATCGCCTTGCTGGGGAGTGGGGGATGATTAAAAAAAAATCTGGAAGCTGTGGGTCATCTTATGAAATTGAATTCTCTACATTAGTAATTGAGCATAGTTTTACAATAGGGGTTACAATTGTGGGACACCCAATGAAGATTAAATTCACTGTGATAATAATGGTTCGCAATAATAGTTTCCTAGTCACTCCAACACAAAAATGTGACACAGCTATTGTGTTCTTGTTGATGTGCCATTTTATACATATGTGTTAATAGTGTCTAGACAAAATCTATAGTCATTGAGTACTTAGTGAGAACCAAATTTACTACAATGGTAATAATCTGTGAAACTAGTGTAATAAACAAGTTTGGTGATCACAAACTCAAAGCAATATAAAGAGATTTTTCAATGGCCAGTGATTTTCTGTCATGGTGCTAGTAAAAAAAAAAAAAAAACAACTTATTCTGTGGTTGACAATTCTTGCTTTGATTAAATGGAGAGAGGAAAAGAGATGTAACAAGCTCTTGTTATTTCAAATCATGTGACTATCATGTAGGTTGCAGTCTCTCAAGTCTCTTACATTAATGAGTTGTGTGCTAAAAACTCATAAAATAAGAACTTCTGCATGAATGGTGGATGGTACAAGTGGTGGGGAGTTCAAATGTTTATTAGTCACTTTATAAATTCTCTGGATATATTCACATACATACCTAGCAATGTAAAGTCTTGTGATTTTGTAATGGCCAGGGATTCCTTTAATCATATCCTATTACTGATAATAGAAAATGTACTTTGATCACACAAACCATGACCACATTTGGTTGTCTCACATGGCTGAATACACTAGATTGCTAAGCATTGCTTCATAGTAAATACCAAGAGGATTTCATGTATGATCATTGACTCTAAGCAAAAATAATTTTGTTTTACATGAGATGGAACAGAATTCTTAATTTTATAGCACAGAAAATTAAGTGTTTCAATGCCTATGGAAAGCTGGTCATAAAACCATTTTCACTTTTTTTTGCTGACAATACATATCATGAGCAGTTAAAAATTAATATTGAATTTTTTTTTTTTTTTTTTTCCTTGCTAAATTAAATTGCCTTGGTTGTCAAATTACCTGAAAGGTGGTTGTGGTTTACTTTCATCTTCATCTTTGATCAGAACTTTACTATCAGGGAAACTTGCATTTAGGTGATCAACATTCAAAAATGTGTCATTCCAATCTAAAGTTGCAATTTGGTTAAGCATTCTAAAAAACAAAAAATGAAAAAAAAAAACATTAACATTTTGAGCAATTATTGTGCATGTTCAGATGCAGATTCACTTGCTAGTGTGTGTCCAGCTTGGGGACAAACTGTTAACAAGATAGAAATTGTGATTGCATTGGGAAAGATATAAACATGGATTTTGTATTAAGACAATTAAAACTGAGATTGCACTCCATAATGAAATAAAACAATCAAAATCATAATTGACATGTTCAGTGGAATGAAAATAAAGTAACTAATTTTTTTTTATATAGAATTGGTTAGCATATGCACAATTCCAACAGAGGTGGAATAATTACCATTCACGCATTACAATCAACTTCATTCTTTTAAATGTGAACAATAAAGAAATTCTAGTATCTGTCTATATTTCTGAGATGAGGTATTATGTACACTATTTACATTATTCAGACTATTGTCCTCATCTTTGTTGCCATATTTATTGGCCTTCTTCAGGTGGTTGGAATGTCCAACTGAACCCTTTATTTCACTCACTGGGGTAGACTGTTCTAGTTAACATGGAACTATGTCTACTGGATCTCAGTTAATTCCCCTCTCCAAATTCTCCATTGCATTAACCAGGTATTGAACTCACAACTCTTTGGGTCCTGTCACTGCATTTAACCAACGACTTTATCCACTGTGTCATGTGTCCTTAAGGACATCTGTGTATGAATTTCTGGAACTTATAAATTTAATACCTTCAGCAACCATTTTTAGCAGTGCTCATATTGCAATTTTTGCTGTAACCATTGCACGTTTTTTTACCAGAGCTCATATTGCAATTTTCGTTGTTATTATTGCTTTTCTCTAGCACTCCTTACTACTGGTTCCAATACCGTATTCATTTCTATGCTTGGTTGGCTCAGGAGATTTTTGTGGCCTAGCATAGGAAATTCTAAGAAAAATGGGAACAAAAAGAACATTTTTACTCAGATCAGAAAGAGTCAAAATTTGTGGGGAAAGAGGAAATGGAGAATTCAACACTCACAAGGCATACTGAAGGCAAGAGGGAAACAGCAAGTTACCTACCTAATGAATTTGTGTAGATGGATGGACAGAGACTTGGAGGGATAGTATGAGGACAAATATTGCTTAGAGCTACAAAGAATAGGAAATCATGGAGAGCTATGATCACCCAGCCCTCAAAGGACATGCCACAAAAAGAAAAGATCTATACATCTTCCTATATCAGGTGTGCATTATGCGTTTTAAAAAAATGTTTTACCCACTCAAAGGGGTAAAGGAGTAAAAACTGACACTAGCAAACCTGCTTGTCTTTTTTGTCACCCTCTCTTCCCTTTCCATTTTTGTTGCTTTTCATTTTTCTCTAGCTTCCTTACTTGTCCTCTACATTTCCTTCTTCACATATTCTTTTTATCATCTTCTTCATCTCTACTGAGATTTCCAGTTCTATTCTTGCATGGAAGCAAAGATAGGTGGTGGATGGCTATATTGTGTATAATATTTTTTACAAAATGCACATATATTACACAAATCCTTAAGCAAAATTTGTCAGGAAGTGACACTGTGATCTAAGAAAGAGTGTACACATCATTTGATCCTAGAAATGCCAATGTTAATTATCAGTAAAAACTGTACAGTGGGGAAAAAAAATTTCCCCATTAACTTTAAATTCAAAGATAACTGTAGTGAACGAGATAATCAAGTACCCCGGAAAAAAGTTCGTGTTTTGTATGCGATCTGCCGGGAGGGATTGCCAAAAGTAGTCAGCAAAACTCTTATAGCGACTTACCTCGTCAACCCAAGCTTAAAAAAAGAAACAAGTCCGTGTGCAGGAGTCGCTATAAGAGTGTATTAATATGCAAATTATGGAGCATCCTATCCCAGCTGTCGACGAATAGAAAAAATAGGTTCTGCCGATAAAAGCAGTTGGTGTTGTCGACTCGGGAGGAAAATTGGGGCAGTTTTGGCTACGGCGTTCGTGAGTTATTTTCCTGACGTGTTACAAGTGATTTTCTTTCTTTGTGTTGTGAAAGCCACAAATTTGCTTTGAGAACGTTTACTCTTCAATAACGTTAATATGTAAGTATAATTAATCAACAGACTTTTCACGTTTATGTATTCTATGCATTGATAGGTGTACATTTATATTGTACTGAACTGATTGTAGTCGTAACATACTTGGAATAATGAGCAGCATCAGGACTGCCATAGCCAAGAATCAAATCATGCAGCCAATCAGGAACAACGCAATCGGTATTCATCAAATCCCGAATCGTCTCAAGAACAGCTTTGAAGTTATTTTCCTTTGGTTTCCGTCTCATAATCACATTGAATAACTCATAAACATCCTGCAGAAGAAAGCAAAAAATTATTAATGATGCATGTAGAATTTTAACTGCTGGTGCCAAGATAAGACAAGAAATGTTTCCTTGTGCAAGAAAAGAATAATGAAACAGGTTTAGTTATAAATAAAACAAAAACAACAAAATCATTAACTGTAAAATTCAGGGAAAAAACAATCTTCAAAGTTTCAACTTGTCTGAGATTCTGAAAAGAAGTACTTTCATCATGTTGCAATTTTTTAAAAGTTCAAATACCTCCATCTTTTTAATGTTTTTTCATTACAATATGGGGTCTGATGTAGGAGAGGCATTAGGGTTAACATCATTAGAAACAATCAAACTATTCAAATTTTCTTTGAAACTGCTTATGTTCACTTCAGTTTAATGCCCTTGAGAAAGGCATGAGCATATTTCTCTCTATACTATCCAAACACCAGATATCTAGAACAAAATATTTATTTATTTTTTATTATGGCCTGTCAAGAAGACATGATGGAAAAGAGAGCAGGTGGGTGAGTAGATGGATAAATTCCTCCATGGTAACTACTTTGTCTACACAGGCCATGACAGGGAGTAGTCATAGTAATAATAATGATTTTGATTATGTCTTATCCTCATTGTTAACTAACTTTCTAATCACTTTATTAAATTTTTTGTATTTCAGAATAAGGTCATTTTTTATTTGTTGTATGTATTCTTCAGCATAACAATCTTATCCCCTTTGTCAGAGGTGGTGATTTTTTTTTTTTTTACAGTGAGGTTCACCCTGTACAAGCTCTGAAGGCCACTTGAGATGGTTACAGAGTAAGAGGCAGTTTATGAGGATAAGAGGGGGAAGATAATGGTTAATTCTGGTCTTGAACAGATTAAGATTGTAGTGATTGGGGAAAAAAATCCTCTAAGGAGTTGGTTCCACAGAGCAGTGGTTTGAGAGAAGAAGCTGTTAAAGTGGAACTTACTTCTCACCAATGGAATATAGAGTGAATGAGGGTGGTTTGCTCCAACATGAATGGCATGGCAAGTCCTAGCTGAACCAAGGAATGCAGTTCATCTGATCACTTTCCATGAAGTAGTGATAGAGCAGTGAGAGACTTGCCAAATCTCACCTATGAGAGAGAGAGGGTGGAAAATAATTTGTCACCCACAAGGACTCAGAGACATTTTTGGACTATATTGAGACTAGAAAGTGAGAACTGGGCAGCTCCTGCCCAAATATGGCAACAGTACTCCATTTTAGGCCTGATCTGGCTCTTGGTAAAGGTAAACGATAGCAAGAGGAATCAGGTACTTACTGGAGCAATACAAGGAACTGACCATATATTTCTGCATCTTTAGCGATGGATCATATGTACGAATTCCAAGTTGAGTTTAAGGCCCAATAGTCTCTCAAGGTACAGTGTCTCCCCAAGAGGAAATCTATTCATCGTGACTGGTTGTAGTTTGGGGTCCGATCATTGATGATGGAATGTAACTAGTTTGGAAATTTCCTTATTTTGGGGATTGATTTTCTCATGCTTTTATGCACCATTTTGGTAGTCTTGTTGATGACTCATCACAAACTCATGTTATTTTACAATGACAATGATTTTTATAAGCAGAAATTCAGATTATTGAAGAGATGACCTCTTAGCAGTGTTTTAGATTCAGATAGGTTATTTTACTGGTACACCAATCCCACAGGTCATTTTGCATCAAATTGGGCAGTTTTAAGATTCGTTTTTATTTTGCAAACAAATTTTTTTATAAGGCTTTATTATATAAGGGTGGGGGTGTAATTTGGTTTTGGTTGCATTTTGTTGCCAGGTATTTGTTTGGTTTCCTTCTTTTGGTATAGAGTTTTGTTACTTTTAAGAATTCTAGAATGGCTTTGGGTTCAACACTCTCAAAGAGGGCTCTAAGGTTGGGTACACTTTAAAAATGTTTTCATATAGGTGCCATTTTTTTGCAGAATTAAAAAATGTGTGAGTACTTCTTAGCAGTTTGGACATTTTGGAGGGTCTTCATTTTTTAGGGGGAAAGAGAGGGTTATGTGGGTGTGTCCAATTTTAATTCTTGTGGGACATCATTTCTTGAATATCTGGTACTATGATGTTATAGTCAGAATGTGTTTTATTTGATATAGTTTGTTTTGCGTGTGTGTATTCTATGATTTTTGCCATTGATTAAGGATGTAAGAGTCAATTTTGTCTGTAAAGGGTATTTTTGAATCTGGTATGTTCATTGAAATGGATTCCTTGGCTGCCTTATCAACCCTAACAGTGTTTTAGCTCATCTCTTCTCATGACACTAATCACAATATTATTTTCCAGTCTGTTCTTTCTTACCCCACTACAAAGGCATATTCTGAAGCCCCAGCCAACTAGTCCAAGTGTAAATAATGTAAATAAATAAAAACTATGCAAAATAGGAGTCAATTTATGCATAGCCATTATCTCACCTCCTCTCCTTTTAGTGTCCGGGCCATGTCTTCTTGGTACTGATTAGGATCTAGCCACACACGTAATGTTCTTGTATCACCTTGTAATTCAGGTTTGGGTTCTGGGCCTACAAATATAAAAAGTGTGGAAGTTGATGCAAAAACTGGACAATGGAGAAAATATTTGATAACTTCTATCCTGTGCACATGTGCACATTTTGTAACCAATGCAAAAAGGAAATTAATGCCTATACAAATGATTAGCTGCCTGAAATAATAATTACATATAAACAAATGGATTTTTTTTAATTCTACATTATTTCTTATCCTATTATAATTGTGCTTGTTTCTTTCTGTTAGTTTGCACGACCATTACACCCTGCCAATACATCATAAATGTTCTATTTTGATCGCATGAAAAAAAAAGAAAAGACACTACTTGAATTCAGTGACAAAATGAATGAAATAAAGAAAAAAAAGAAGGCAAGATAGAAGTGTTTAACATCTGTTTCAATGAAATGGAAAAAGCTGTTAATTTCAAATCTTTTCATTTGTACCCACTTCTTAAAATAATGACCAGCATACATATTTATGATTGTTATTGCAATATTTTGTTCAAGATGTTGCTCAAATAATTAACAATGTGATAGAAAAATTTCTACAGATTTTATTGTTGTGGAACTCACCATGAGCTTACTCACTCATTAACTTGAGAATTAAAATTAGGAAAACTGAAATTTTCACAGGCTAAAACTAGTTACATGTGTTTGAGTAGTTATGTTTTTTATTTTTTAAAGTGAAACTAGTATGTACATTTATAAGTCCACCATTTGTCAGTGCATTGAATATTGCTGCCACATTTGGTCTGTAGCTTCTGCTACATATCTAGAGATTCTTGAGAAAAATCAGCTACGTTATCAATCCTGACCTGGCATCTCGGCTTCAGTCATAACATAGCTTTCCTGTGCCTTTTCTAAATTTTCATGGCATTTCCTCTTTAAGTGCAGTACTAGACTGGCAGCTAGGTCTCATCATTTTACTATTGAAATTGATAGATGCAACTATAAATTCTATTCTAATAGTTTCTTCTCTTGCACATCTTGCCTATGGAACTCTATTCTGGTTTTTCTATCAACTATAATCTTGAAAAATTTAAATGCAACATCAATTGTCATCTTAAATCCTTTTCTTTTATTGCTCTCTTCTCAATAACATTTTCTCAGTTTCTTTCATTTGCATCTTAGTGGGTTTGTTGCATTGCTTGAGGTGAAATGATTAAAAAAAAAAATGAAACATCTCCCAGCCTTGAGATGGAAAGTCTTACTAAAGAAAATAGCTTGATGGTAGTTCCAAAGATTAAAGTTTGTTTGTTTTTTGTTTACATTCAAATTATAGTAGAACCTCAGTTCACAAATTTAATTTGTTCCTGAAGGCCGTTCGTGACCCAAACCAAAACTATTTTCCCATATTAATCAATGTAAAATGGATTAATCCATTACTGGATCCTAGATTGCTTATTTAAACTTTTACAACAGGACTTTGTGCACAAATTCATACAATGAACCAATTAAAATCATTAAATCTCATCTGCAGTTGCTCCCTCACAGACGTGCCGTCACCTCCCTTTGTCTTTTTTACATATACTTTCACGGTAACTGCTCCAATGAGCTGCTTTTGCTGATTCCCAGACTTCATGAATTTAAGCGTTCAACAGGCTGGCATCTCGCTCTCACCCTTTCACTGTCAAAACTGTTAAATGTAGCCGTCTCTTCTACTCCAATAGCTTCATGTCTCGCACTTCTCACCTGTGGAAGTCTCTCCCCTTTTCCTGTTTCCCTGATAGCTATAATCTCTAACTATTCAAATGTAATGTCAATCAACATCTCCAGATGCCTTGATCTATCCCCTATCCTTCTCTTCATCCTTTCCTCTATCACTCCTATCTGCTCTCGCTCCAACTCTCTGTAATCCCTTGTGTGCTAGTGGCTTCCCACCTTGTTTGGAATGAAATGCTTTTAAAAAATAAAAAAATAAAAATAAAAAAAAAATAAAAAAAAGATAAACACAATTCTTTCCAACCTTTTATGTGCCATGTCCTTTCAGGATGTAGGCGATCATGGCTCTCCACTTCCCCCTATCCCTTGTAACTCTCAATAAGTTTTGTCCCTCGGCCAACTCCCCCAGACCATGTTGTCATTCACTTGCTTAAGCCCACCAGGTATGTCATGCGTTGCTTTCCCTTGACTCTTTTTTCCTCTATTCAACCTGTGAGTATCAGATTCTCCAGGTCCTCCTTTCTCATTATGTGTCCCAGAAAATTCAGCTACCTCTTCCTGATGTTAAGTATAAGCCTCCTCTTTGTTTGCATCCTCTCCAAGACCTTATTGTTGCTTACATTTCTGTAGAACCACATCTCCATCGCCTCGAGTCTCTTTTTCATCTTTGAGGAGACCATCCAACATTTGCTGCCATACAGGAGGACAGATGTCATGTAACAGTTCAGTACTGTTTTCTTTGTTACCAAAGAAATCCTGCTGTCTCGTAATACTCTGCTTACCTTTTGGAATGTGTCTTTAATACTAAACAAATAAAATATAGACAAAAAATTAATTTTACTGTACATATACAAAGGAGAGTTGATGGCCTAAGTGGAAGGTGGGGAGAGATGTTATTGTTTGGAAAGAGAATGTCCTTCCATAAAAACATCAGCTGTCTTTCTGGGGTTTCTTCTCTTGCTATTTTCTGTCTCTTAGTAGCACTTGACTCTGCTTGAGATTCACTGGGATTCTCTCTCATTAAAAATTTGTCCTTTTTCCTCTTGAATGATGTATATCCCCCTTGGCATTTTTTTTCTATAATAGACCAGTTTCATCAGTTAAACACTTGCTGGAGAAGAAATACATCATCTTTTATGTAGTCACTACATTCTTGCACAGATTCTTCAGCAGATCTTTGATTCACACTTGCAGTTTCCTCTTGCATGACCACACTATGTATGCCATTTCTTTTCTTATTTTTCATTGTCATAGATGTTATTATAGACATGTTTCGGCCAAGTACCCTCTAGCTATCTTCAGGTGTCCATTCTTTTGTCTATATGGGATATCTTAGGTGTTGATTATTGTGTTATTTTTATAGCAGGAACAAGCAAGAACTGTCATCACATGGACAAAAATAACAATCTGTTTTGTAGAGGTATATTCCCACAAATTTCAACATATTTACTTTGAATATACATATACGTGTGTGTGTGTGTGTGTGTGTGTGTGTGTGTGTGTGCATGCAAAATGCTGAAAAATGCATACCTTCTTCTATGACTTTTCCATTATCATCTAACAAGCCTTCTATTTCACATCCTCTAACATATGTGAGTCCCACTTGAGGAATAAATGCCTTATCAGGATCATATGGGGTTCCAATGGTTGATGTTGGGTTCACAGTGATTAAAAATGCAACATCGTGTTTTCTTAAAGCTGAAAAAATAAAACCAACAGAATGCAAGAATTTAGTCTTGTTCAGAGGATTTAAGATGCAGTGTCATTTAAAAGAAACATAATTGATAAAAATGGATAATAAATATTAAATATATGTAAAAAGATGGTCTATGGTATTTGGGAATTCCAAAAGGTTGTGCCTTGAAACATCCACCTGTAAAAGGGTACTCACCTACACAGAGAGACATAAAAAAAATCAATATTCAAATAAAACCTGGCTGATATGAGAATCAAAAAGCATTGCTCCTTCCTGCAATGTCCCATCACCAGTCATCATGGGTTTTTTTTTTTTCAACCAAGAGAAAATGAAAACTTAACTACTACTCTGGTATAGATGCAAAGGCTTTTATATCCATCATCAATAATGAAAAATACAGATTCTCATATGAAACAATTGTTTATAACAACTATAGCAAAAGCACAAAAACATTGGGATTTTTATCAGAAATATGTTAACTTTTGTTTGAACAAAAAAAAAAAAAAAGCTTGGGTAAAATTTTAAATTTGAATTTGAAAGTGATCTAACATATAAATTGAGATATACTTTTGTGCTTTTTTTTTTAATCTTCACCCCCAAGCAAGGTGATAAAGCCCCTATGACACAAAGGCTTATTGAGTGTTAAAGAATCTGAGAAAAAAAAAACATTAAGTAGGCCAATAAAAAAAAAAAAAACAGGAATTAAGACAGAAGATGACAATTGATGTGGTACCTAAATTTCTGAAGAAGAAAGTTGACTGAAAAGCAAGAAACTGTTAGCACAGAACTTATGGTAACATCTAGCTATTTCAAGTGTAAAATGACGAGACATAGCTGCCAATCTAGTACTGAACTTAAACTTGTAAAGTTGAGGTAGCAAAGCAGATCTGAATAATAAAGATGAAAATATTTATAGAAAAGGCACAGAGAAGCTTTGTTACAGAGGTTGGAAAGTTACTGAAGATAAGATGCTAGGTCAGGACAAATAACATTGCAGATTCTTTTTTGGATTTTATCAAGAATTTCTAAATACATAGCAGATGTAACAGGTCGGAAGTGGCAGCAATATTTTTGGATGTTTGAATAAAGACAAAAAAAAAAGTCACTAATCAGCAGCTAACCTTTTAGTTCAATAAAGAAATTTTACACTTATCAATTGTATCTTGTCATATCACAGCTAGGATTTACTCGACAAATCCATCAAAACTTGCATTTGTTTTAATGATACTATCTCCAGAGAGACAGCAAATACTAAAAGTATATGTAAGGAGCTGCTACCAAAAATACCAAAGTATATTTAATGTGTGAACAAATATAAAAATTATTATTTACACTATTTAGATTCAGACTACTGTCTTCATCTTTGTAGTTGCTATCACAACATTTCAGCCACTATACCTTCCAGACTTCTTCAGGTGTATACAATACAATACAATAGCCTAGTGCATTAAAGTGTTGCTTTGAATTTGGTAACATAATAACTGTGAGTTCAATCCATGGGCCAGAAAGTGTGTACTTGGACTCTGGGAAACAGGGAGAGCAATAACTGAGCAGTCCTAAAAAATAAGAACTAGATGATATCCCTAGACATGAGCAGTGGAATGAGAACAGTCTACACCTGTAGATTAAATAAAGGGTTCAGTTTGGAATTCCCTGTAGGTTACTTGGATTGATAGACACCTGATGAAAGCCAGAAAGCACAATGGTTGAAATGTTGTTGTTAAAACAGGATCTTGATCAATAAACTGAGTGACAGCACTTCACCAAACAATAGAAAAATGTTCATTGAGGAGAAATTTCAATAAACTTAAATCATGCCTAAAGGTTAAATCTACTTTGGCAGGAAGGGAGACAAACTACTTCCACCGTTTAGAACACATCCATTAAACTGAGGAGTAAGAGTCTAATACCTTTAGAAATTTGTTAGCTAAGGATCGAGAGTTCAATCCTAGATCAAGAGCTATCATAGTTAACAGTTGTGATAATAAAGATATGTATATAATGATAACTTCTCATATAAAAAATTCAGACAGAAATAAAGAATATTAATTCAAAATGTAAAAACTTTGTCAGTTAATAATTTTTTTATTCTCTGCCAATAAAAAAAAAACATGTACAAAATATTAACTTGAAAGACATAATACAAATGATAGATTTTTTTCCATTTCTTTTCCTACACCAGATGTGTTTGTTCAAATAATAATAAAAAGATGAGACTAATTTCATTACTAATATAGGGAATAATAAACACATTAAAAAAATTCATATAATCTTTTTATTGAATTGATTGATTGATCAGTTTGCTTAACAGCATATCAACTCCTTATGGGTCATTTAATGCTGAAATCTTATTTTCTTTGGAGCTTTGAACTAATAAAAATATGATGTTATTCTGCATTCACAATTGAATACATGGTAGATAATACTCAGCTTTTGTGCATATACATGTTTGTGTGGATGTAATTACTAGAGGCAGTGATATGTGTGGTTTATGTTGTAGTTTTGTTGAAGTTATATTTTAGAATACAGTTTGAATTTTTTTTAAGAAATTGTAGGATATTATATGGAATAAGGTTATGAAAAAGTTCTTTCATGTTGGTTGTTTGATTTTGTTTAGCGGCATATCAACCTCTCTATGGGTTGAACAATTATATGGCTTCAACTAAATATATTTTAAATGCAACTGTATGCCTTCAACTACAGATAAAATATATTGTTGGTCATGTTGCCATAAAGTGTATTGTTGGTAATTCTACTATAAATAGGTATTGTTGGTATTTTTACTATAAAAATGTATTTTTATACTTTCATAGTGTTTTGTTTTTTGTTTCTAGGATCCTAACAAGTGCTTCAAAGTGGACCTGGGAACAACAACAATTAAGCGGTGGTTGCACTCAAAACCTCCAATCTCACAATCAGAGGCCTTGCTGCCAGATGTAGTTTATCATCATATCCAGGACTCGAATTGCTTGACATCATTAACGGGGAGGATATGTTTGGTGAGCAGTAGCAAGGGCACTGATATTTGGTTGGAAGTTGGTAATTGTCAGTTGTAAGTCACCATGCTGTTTCATGTTGTATTTTCCTTTGTTTAAATTAAAGTTTATTTGTTTGGCTTAAACCAGCTTCAGACATGGCTCAACTGCTGCACTAAGCTTGGGTGATTTTGAAGATTTTAATTTTGAATAATCATTTCGCATCAAGATCTACAGCCATATCGAGGAGTTCATCTTGTAAGTGATATTATTGTGTTTGCATCTTCTATTTCCAAATTGGGTATTTATCATTTTAATATCAACCATTCTGGAGATCTCTGACCGAGACAACAATAAAAGGCTTTTTTTTTTTCTACCACACAAGAAATTTAGAGAAAAATATATTAACCTTCAAGTACTGCTGGATACATTGATTTGAAACTTAAGCTCAATTACTCTATCTAAGAAATAACCATATCTTAGGCATGTCTACTCAAACACATGTAGCCACTAAATAGAACATTTATAGTATTAAGCTCAAATACAAATTTAATATTTACTGACTACTACTTTATAGTACCAGGTGCTATAAGCTTGGATGTGCAGGTGATGTAATGGATGACAGCACTGAATTGGAAATTGGAGAGCCAAGTTCCAATTCCAGTTGAGGTTGCTATATTTACTTATGTGAAAATATACTTGGGAAAGGTATGAATATACCTTTTCTCCCCCATAGCTATGGATTAATTAGTAAAACTTGTATCAATAAAAATCACTATTATCATCAAAACACTTCTTACAATCTAAAAATATTTTGGGCCTTTAAAAACCAGCAAAAGGTTGATAAACCATAATAAAACAAATTACTCACTCACTACTTCATAGGTTATTTAGTATACTTAAAGTATTATAAAAGAATTATTATTTGATGCTTATTAAGCTTAGCTAAGTATGGCACAAATGAAAATGGAGGTGAGTAAATAAAGTATGTTATGCCCATCTTACATGTTGGGTGTAAACAGCTTTAAACTAGACTTGAACACTAACTTTTGTACCATTACAAGTTCAAAATGAGATTTTCCAAACTCAAAATGAGAAAATCCAAATTTAATACAAAAATAGTGTTTATTGATATAACCATATAAGTTTAATAACCGACATTGTTCAAATTTAAGACTGATGGAAGTATTCTTTGGATTTTTGCTATGACTTGAATGCATAGCATTGGCGTTATTCCCTTTAAGGAATCTTCAATGATGTTTTCCAATTTGTCCAATTGAAAATCCTTTTTTATTGTCCCTGATGGAATTTCTGCACTGAGAATCTCACCCATATTTGCAGCTAATTTTCTTTTGATCAATGCCTTTATAACTTACCAAATGTTTTCTATCAGATTAAGTATAGGGCTGTACTGTGCCGTTCAGAAAAAATCATTGTGCTCAAATTCTGGATCAAGTAAAACTCTCTCAATGTTGGAATGGCATGGAGCATTGTCAATGACAATAACTGTTGGTTTCTGATAGATTTTATAGGCCTTCTGCAAGCATTCCTTTATCCAATTTCCCGCCACTTTCTTATTGCAGGAACCTTGATGAATTTCATGATATATTAGCCCCTTTGTACCAATGCATCCAATTAGATGAATATTTGCACTCTTAGAAGCCACTGAAGATGTATGGCATCATCCTCCTCTCAATGATCAACCTCGAGTTCTCATAATATGCAGGTTGAAATTTGTTTCATCCATAAATAGGATGGGAGAAATGTCAGCTTGATAATCCAACAACCTTTCGGCAAATTCCTTTCTCTTTTCCTTTTTGTGCTACTATTCCCAGTTTCAGGCTCAAATCAATTGATACAGAATTATTGTACTTCTGAATTTCTTCTGCAAGCTGAGCACAAGTAATTCTTGGGTTCTACTCAATCTGGTCAACCAAAATTTGTCACTAGGTTTTGGAAATCTTTGAATGTCTATAGTCTCCTCTTGTATCTACTTTATATAACCTTCCTTTATTTATCTATATACAGTGGATGTTTTGATTCTCAAACATTTTGCTGCAGATTTCCAGACCCCATCATTTTCATAGACTGCCAAAAATTGCCTTTTCATGGGCTTCAGATTGTATATTTTTTTGGTCATGGTTATTAGGTGATTAATTGAATGAGTATAACTTTTTCAATTGGCAACATATTACTTGACTATATAGAGTAGTGTTCAACAACTTTGAAACAGCTTGATTAAAATTCAAACCTCCAAGTCTATATATATATATATATATATATATATATATATATATATATATATATATATATATATATATATATGACATTGTGAATATTATTCACTAAAAAAAAATAAATGTGCTAAGGAGGTGATTCAGACCCAATTTATTTAGAAGTTGCAAAATATCAATTGCTAGAACATACGGAAAAAAAAATGAATAGTGAATGCTTATTATTAGTGTATAGATGTGATTTGAATTTGCATCTTTGTTTTATCATGCTTACTTTGTGTTTTCTCATTTTGACTTTGGAAATTCTCATTTAGAACTTGTAATGATAATGTATTGGTAGGAAATGTGCAAGTGTTTCAGCTATAAGACAAACCAAAGAAAGAATTATTTACTTGATATTTACAGAGTAAAAAAAAAAAAACAAAAAAAAACACACAAAACAATTACAAACCTTCCCATTCTGATTTGATTTCAGGACGGACACTGAGATTTACTGTAATGTCTGCTCTCACTTGAGCTGGATGTGATTCACCAATTCTGGGTTTGGCTACCTGGAAAAATATTGATATTAAATTTTAAAAATATACATACAGATTATATAAAAGATCATATAATAAAACAATCATCTTGAAATTGCTGCCATAGTGACATACGATTGTCCCCTTAAAAATCAAATTGCCCCACGTTGAGAACCGTGGCAGTAGAGTTAAAAAGATAGACATACCCCACTTTGTACTAGAACCAAAATAATAGATGCAAACCTTCTTTGCACTAAAGCCAAAAAGGTAGACATATCTGATTTATAACCAGATCTGCAAGTTGTATTTTTTACTGTGGCAGGATTCATTTTAATTCAGTTTCCTCCTATCTTTTATATTTTTTTATGTTGAACATGTAACTGACAGATAAAGAATAGAGAAAGTTTGGATATTTATACAGACACATACAACATTTTAAATTTAAAACAGATATTTTCCTTTCTAATATACAATATATAGATTTCCTATTAACTTAAAGACATTGCAATGTAATTAAAATTGTTCTTTATTACACACCTGGCAGAAAAAAAAACAAAGATAAACTTACTTCAACAACACTGAAAGCAACAATGGGTTGTGCCATTCGAGCCCAGCCACCAAATATTATGCTGCCATCTTCAGCAATCCTGAAAATCAAATGTAAAAAAACATCATGGTTAAAACTGAAAGTAAACCAAAATTTTGCTGAATTATCAAAAACAAACACACTAAATTCTCTTTACTTATTACAATAATAATTGAAATGTATATTAATAACATATATGAAATATATAAATTATGAATAATGTCTATTTTTACATAATCTACAATAGATACTGAAAGGACAATAATATTATTGGAAAATACAATTTTTAGCTAAAAACTACAATTCTTCCATAAAGCTACTACTATTGGCAATGAAATGGTGTATTCAATGTCAATCGGCCATGATTCTTCACTCACCAGTTATGGGTGAAATAGCAGGATAGACTGGGATATCCAGCCTTGGTTAGAAACTAAAGATGGTAAAATACCCCCCAACCAGCAGCCTGGGCCACTCGTGGGGATGTTGTAACATTATACGCATAAAGCAAAGTTTGTTTAAGGATTATGGTTAGAAATAGGGGTAAAAAGGATTTATAGAAGGATGCTGAGAATACCAAAGACTGAACATGTGATCAATGATGAAGTTTTAGAGAAAATCAAAACAAAAAGGACACATACACTTAGAATCAAAAAGAGACAATTGAAATTTATAGGCTACATAATGAGAAAAGAGTGCTTGGAAAATTTTACACTCACAGGATATACTTAGGGACAGAGGAAAGCAGTAAATAAACTACCTAAAAAGCTTGTGTAAATGGTTGGCAGAACAAGGCTTAGGAGAGATAGCAAAAGGACAAACATTGTTAAGGGATACAAAGGACAGGAAGTTGTGGAGAACCATGTCCTGAAGGGATATAGCAGATAAAAATTGGAAAGAGGAAAAAAAAATCCTAACAGTGGTGGTAAAACTCTGGTAGCAGAAAGGTTGGTTTTCCTGTAATATATATACTAGCTTAAAAGCCACCCTATTGGACGGCATTCAAACTAGCTCCTGTGGATGGCTCTTGATTAGGCCTTTGGTTTGTTCAGGAGTTTGAGAGTCCCTAAGTCTTTGCATATTCTTAGCACTAGAAGCTCTACAGGCTGCCGTTTGATCTTGATTTTCATTTGCACGGGATTTTCTTTTCCTTACTGCAGACTTGATTGCAATCTGGTCCTCTGTTGGCAAAGATTTCTTTCTGCAAGGCATACTGCTGCCATATGCGATAGGCAACAATAAACTACAGAAGAACTCAAAATTAATCGCTGCATTTATGTATTGCATTAATATTTAAGCTTAACTTTTAAAAGTTCAACAATAATTCTTCTGCCGCCACTTAACTTAAAAACAATTTGGTGTACATAGGTCCTTACTTTCCATACAAACAATTATTTCTATTTCATGGGTGACTTTTGCTGGATTTCCCAATTAATTTCAGTTATTCCCAAATTTATTTCCAAGTTATAAAAATTGTTATTGTACAAAAAAATTTGTCGCTAAAAATCACTGAAAATAATCATAGTAATGAAAACTTGGGAATCTAAAACTTCAGGATTGCGTGTCTGGATCCAGCCCAGAATGTTTTTTTTAGTTTGCTCACAGAGTCTGCCTGATTCCAAAATGGTATGATATGTAGGGTTACAGCCTCTAGGAGTAAAGTTGAAAAGGTGTGACACATGCATTTCTGGACTAAGTCACTAAACATGATGCTATGTACTTCAATGTTGCATCTGTAATAAAGCCAAAACCTCAATATTTTGAAGATTCTACCAAATCCACTTATTATTACTATTTTATTAAAACTGCAAAAGAAATAATGCAAAGAAATGTCATTTTTTGCCTATTGACGCTTGTGTATTGACGGAACTGTTAAGAGCAGAAACACTTACCAAGGTTTCATGTGTGTGATAGCATCCTCAATATCTTGTCTAATTTCATCTGTAAATAGAAATCAAAATTGAAGAGAGCTATCAACAGAACAGCCACTAAAAATAGACTAAAAATATTCAAAGAATTTGCTGCTGCTGCATATAGAGATCAAAGCTGTGGACAAACTTTCCAAAGTTCTGGTTTTGGTTCAAGTACTTTTAACCGTCTTGGTCATTATCAAGAACTAAATATTGTCCATATCGGAGACAAAAGTTTTGTTAGTTACATCATTTCCTTTTTGGAATGTTAAAATTACATATACATGCAGCATATACATCTTGGAAAACAGTTTCGCAAAGTTTGATAGCACCAGATAATTAACGTACATTTTACATGCATTATAGTATCACTTCTCTTCCCTCAGTAATTCTTGTATTAATTTTTCACCACTATCAATTCTTTTTACCTGATTTACATTTCTTTTCTCTAGTAAAAATGTTTATGATGCATTTATATATAAAATATTTATCTCTTATTCATATAATAACCCGTTTCTTCCTAAAGCCCTTAAATAAATTCTTAATCGCTGATAATCCTTTCCTTCTTGATTTTTCAATACTTTTCTATAGTAAAATAATAATTTATATTGCATTTCTACAGTGAAAAAATAATAATAGGAGTCATTATGTTAATGTTAACTGTAAACTGGTGAGGTTAAATAAATCCTGTAATCACATATTTATAGGAACAGTTGAGATGTAAGAAAATGTTTGTCAACACTTGTCACTAAGTGGTAATCATCATAACAGGTTCTTCACTGTAGGGCAAACATTCATACACACTGACCCTTATGCGCCATTCATACACACTAGACCTTATCTAAAAAATGTGGTAGGAGGCTGACATCAAAGAAACAGTGAGAGTAGTCTTCATCCAATTATCCAACAGATGTTGACTAATATGTTGCCAAAAACTGTGTGAAAATTTTGTCGCCAGAAAAAAGTAAAACACTTCATCAAAAAGACGGTTATTTTCTTGACACCGCCATTACTGTACACACTTTTGATTCCCTCAGCCATGTTTATTGTGTTGAAAAGTAATGAGTAAAATTTTATTATTAAAGCTGTGATGTCTGATATGCCAAAGAAAACTAAAAAGAGTTGAAGAAGGAGTGGATGCAAGATTTCATATACCTATGCACCCACTGAAGGGTACAAGTGTTGGTAACAGATGAAATTTGGAAATTATACTTACAAGTAGATTCCAAACGAAACAAGTTGAAATTTTTCAGAAGGTAATCATGGAGAGTTAGAAACTGAAGATTCATTTTTGGCAATGCAAGGCAACCTGAAAAGTGAAAAAAAAAAAAAGGCAAGTTTAATCTTCAAGAAAATGAATTAACTAAAGTTTAAGACAAAACTCATAATGAATACAAAATCCACCTAAAGAAACTTGGTTATTTAATGCTGACAAGATTTTTATTTCTGGTAATATTTTCTTTTTTCAAATATTTATTGCTGATATTAATTTTTTTAAAAGTATTTCTGGTATTAAAATCTATTTTTACACTTTCATAGTGTTTTGTGTCAGGTTGTGGGGTCAACTATTTGCCCATATCTGGGATTCTAACATGTGCTACCACCCCTGGGAAAACCAGCAATTAAGAGGTGGTTCCATGCTCCTCAAAGCCTCCTGATCAGAGGCCTTGCTGTTGGACATAGTTTATCGTCTTACCCAGGACGCAGATGCAGTTTATCATCATAGCCAGGACAGCTAAAGAAACTTGGAGAAATTTAGGTGTTAGGGGAAATATCAAAGGGGAATGCAGGTTCGAATCCTGCTGGAGGGGGACACATTTTCTTTATCGTGTTTTCTCAAATGCACAGGCCAGTAGATGAAATAAATCCTGTTTAAAATATGAGACATTCTACTCCACTAAGAGCATCCACTAAAAATAATACTTAAAGTAATAAAATATAAAAGATTAAAAATAAAAATCTATTAATTCTTTAAACATTAGTAATATCATTTTGAAATTTTCCCTGATCATTTATTCTTTATTTCTGGTTCAAGTGGCTGAAGACAAACAGAGTATTTGGTTTGATAAGCAAGTGGAAGTAAAAAGAAATACTAGTCAAAAATGAATAATTAATAATAGCTGACAATGCTTTAATAATAATAATTTAATATTACTAAGACTACTAATGGAAGGAAAGTGAAATTACGAGGAAAGAAATATTAGAAAGATATTAATAATGGCTGACAATACTTTATCTAATAATAATAATTTAAGATAATATTACTAAGGGACTTTTTTTTAAAGCCATGTCCTTTCAGGACATGGGAAATCATGACTCTGAAGTGCCAAGAATATTTGAGAAAAATAGTAGAATAGTTTCCCATTGCCTTCTCCAGTTTGTAATTCAGATTTTCCTTTTATAAACTTGTTATCACCCAAGGCTAGAGAACCCAGTCTACTCTGCTATTGAATCCATAGCTTGAGGTGATGGACTAATGCCGTTCTCAAAAGTGCAAAAGTGAATGCAACTGGGCAGGCTGAAATTTGAACTTGGTTCAACAATTCCTTTCCCATCAATATGTTACTCTAGTCGGATGGGTATGTTAGCCTAGTTGGATGGGTATGCTATACTAGTCAGATGAGTAGGTATTGTATATAAATATCAAATATGATATTGCCAAGAAGAATTAAGTCTCTATGGTTCAATTTGATCTTTTGTAACACAGGTTACTGCTGCACATAAAGAGGGTCTTTCTTAGGTTAATTGAGTTATAAGCTTCAGTTTTGCCCACAGTTTATGGCTAATGTAATGGCTGATAATGCTGTCACAATGTGATGGAATTCCCAAAGAAAAAGATAAACAGGTGTTATTCTTGATTTCCAATTCAGATTCAGTGATATTTTTTGTTCATACTATCAGAATATGTAGAATAGTTAAACAACTGACCCTAGACTAGAAGAGGTTAAGATCATAGTGATTGAGGAAGCATCTTCACAGAAGTTTTTCCCATATAGCTTCTCCCCCAGAATTGTTACTCTCTGAATGGAACTTCTTCCTTACCAATGGAATACGAAGGGAATGAGTGTAAGTTGACCATGTGTATGTGGCATGGCATTTCCTATCTGTGAATGTCTGAAGTGGTGGAACTAAAGAATATAGTTCATCTGAACATTTGCTATGCAGATAACAATAAAGTAGCAATCAACTAGCAATGTTTCAACTGTGGGAGAGGGGTTGTAGGGTGGAAAATTCACCACCCACAAGGCTGTGTAAACACTTTTGAACTCTGCCAAGGCAGGAAAATGAGAATTGGGTTGCTCCTACCCAAACATAACAGAAATACTCAAGTTATAATATAAGTCATTAAAATATAAAATAAGTGAAAATGAAGAAGGTACTAATAAAAAATTAATTTACCTTCACCAGAAAAGTATTCAGTTGGTACAATGTTTTCATCCCAAATTATATTTTCTGTTGGATAAAGGGGCATTTCATTAACAGTCTCCAATTGTGAGGGACGTCTTTCATGTTTGGTAATCTAGAAAATATAACAAAAAAGTTAGTTTCTGAATGAATTTCCTTGATAAGGTATTCTTAATATTCAATGTCTAATATCCAAATCATTATTATTTTTATTATAGTTCAGGCAGTTAATAGAAATCAACACCATATGGAAACCACTCCTCAAAAAAATAAAAAAAAATAATCTCAGAATCAACTTAGGAGATAATAATCTGGTGGATAAAGATGATAATACCTGCTTCTGGGCAAGTTCAATTCCTTGGATAGCTAGTGCAAGAGTACACATTGGAAGATAAGAAAATGTTAGACTTTACGTTTCTTAGGAAGGATAGCAGATATAACAAGAAACAGTAATGAATGAGAACTATTCACTGAGAACACAAAAAAAATTAAGGGTTCTGTTGAAAGTTCCTTGATGTTTGATTGCAAGTTATTGATTTTGAGATAAAAGTCTAATTAGATATTGAAGAGAAAATTTATAATACCAGGTCCCATAAGGATGTAAGAAATTACGTCTCTCCACAAATTCCTTTTCTTCATTATCTGTAAATTGCCATGACTTCTTGGGAAATATATTTGAGTGGTTTCCTGTTGCCTTCTCCAGATTGCCATGTGAGATTGGTGAGTCTATTTTAGTTGAAGGTTTTGAATTTAAAGTTGTTGTTCTCCTAGACCTGTTGCCAGCCAAGGAACTAATCTGTCCTGCTATTTATCCATAGCTGGAGGGAAAAAGTATCGATTCATACCTTTCCCAAGGGCATTTGTATATGAGTGAATGTAATGAACTTGGCTGGATTTTGAACTTGGCACTTCGATTCCTCAATGTGAGCGGCTACTCATTACTCCACCATGCCTCCTTTACTTAAGTAATTACAGAATCTAAAATATGTGGTATTAATGCCTGACCATTTTAATCTGATAAACATTTGGTTAAAATATTTTATCCATATTTATGATTTGTATTTCTATCAATATCTTTGTGGGATACAAATACAAATACTGTAGTCCCACTTTCTTTAACTTGACCATTTCATCAGAATGTTTTGCCCCCATTTAGTAGTACTTGTGGTTCTCTAAAACTAATTCTACAGGTTGAAGTACTGTAATCCAATTTACTTTGAATTTAATTGAAATATTTTATTCACATTTATTGTAGTGAGTCAGTAATGCATTCTTCAGTTGCTACAAAGTAATCTACCCTTATGACCAAATTGTCTGGTTAGATGACTCATTTGGCCTGATTCTGGAATCATAGAGATTAGATTATAAAACTCTGTCTTGTATTACAAAAGGTAAACACCATTACTCACTAAAAGTTCCAGGAAGAAATCTGTCTTGTATGTTGTCTCCTCATTTTCAGGAAACGGTAATAAATTCAAGTGGGCACAAATTTTGTGCAAAGACAGATCACTGAAAATAGAAAAATTGAAGTGTTTAAATTATAATGTACAACTGTAAAGATAGAGTCTAAAGGCAAAAAAATGATAAATAATAATTTACAATCTTCTAGACAGTTTTGTTTTAGAAGAAAATATTCTCAGGACGGGCTATTGGAACATTCCTAGCTAAAAACAAAAATTTCTTTCTTAGATGAAATGAAAAAAATTTTTTTTTAAATCTATTACAGTTAGATAACCAATTTTTTGGCAACTGATGACTTGGCACCTCTTTTAATCCAGACAAAATTAAAATTGTACTGCCCATCTGTAGGTCTAACAGAAGACTGCAAAATTCTTCTAATTTTAAACAACTGTTCAATTTATACAAAAGCTGAACTGCTATGAAAGAATAATGTCTACACAGTATACATGCCACCAAACTGTAGAATCTTTATCCAACATAAAGAGAAATTGAATTCTGTAAAAGTATTCCTTACATTTCATTAAGTATATGTTACAAGTGTTAAATTTATGAAAGAATTTCATAGAAGAAATATTTGTTTAATTTTAGTTTCTAACACTTTTAATACTTTAAAAATATGAGATGTGCATAATCAGTGGTTCAGACATGGATTATTCAATTAACATGTGACTTTTGTTGAACAAAAACATGAAATTTAGAGAGTTAATCCACAATTCTGATCCAGATGTGCAACAATTTATTACTGAAATAATAAAAAATTAAGCAGGCAGACCCTGCTGATTGAATTTTAACTTTATTTATATATAATTCTAGGAAAATGCAGACACATTAATAAATAGCTACTTTGTTATATAAAACCAGATTCAAAATTTATTATATAAAAAAATTAATAATTTAACCAATTTTATAAATTTTGAGAGGTCCTGTATATCTAATACATATAAAATTTTTAAATAGATGGTAAATTTTATCATTTACAATTTCAACATAATATTAAATAATCAATAATTATTATTTTTAATTAATGAAACTATATATAGGAAAAGATAGGTGAAAATAAATAAATAAAAGAAAAATTTTATAATCTATATATTAATAGACTTGTCACATTGCTTGAAATGCAAAGAGAAAAAAGTGGGACGGAGTGTAAGAGAGAAAAAGTGGGACGGAGTGTAAGAGAGAAAAAGTGGGACAGAGTGTAAGAGAGAAAAAGTGGGACAGAGTGTAAGAGAGAAAAAGTGGGACGGAGTGTAAGAGAGAAAAAGTGGGACGGAGTGTAAGAGAGAAAAAGTGGGACGGAGTGTAAGAGAGAAAAAGTGGGACATAGTATAAGAGAGAAAAAGTGGGACAGAGTGTAAGAGAGAAAAAGTGGGACATAGTATAAGAGAGAAAAAGTGGGACAGAGTGTAAAAGAGAGAAAAAGAGAGATTGGAGATGGAAGTCACCTTAGATAAAGGCAGCTGTTTGTAGGGAGGGGTTAAATCATGTTTTGTGACCAATGTTGAGAACATTTCAGTATTTTTAAGAGAGGCTATATGACTTTTTTTATAACTATCTGGGAATGGTCAAGGGTTGAAAAATACAGAGTGCAGCATTAAAAGATTTATTAGTAAATCACTGTAATTTACAGGGGTCGTATTAGTATAAATAATAATAAAAACGTATACATGTGTGTGTGTGTGTGTGTGTGTGTAAAATGTATAATAGTATCAGAAATGAAAGTGAAGATAATAAGTCAAAGTGGAAAAGCTATAAAGGACATATTCCACCAATTGCAGGTCTGTTTCCTTTGGCTTCCTCAATTTAGAATGAAAGACAAAATTGCATGTAAGGAAAATGCATTGGGATCTCTGAAGATAAGATAGGTGGGGGGGAGGATTATAAATCAAATTACCTTATCACATCTGATGACCTGAAAGTGTTTTTCTGCCTGTTTGTTTCATATTTGATAATGCATTTCGCCATTTAAGGCTTCCTCAGATCCAAAAATGAAATGTGTATTTGTGTGTATGCATAAAATAATGAATCTTAGTACTTTTTACCTAAGCTGGATTTGCCTTTAATTTCAGATCTGAGGAAGCCTTAAAGGGTGAAATGTATTATCGAATATATTCCTAAACAAATCTATTCTCATGAATATTTCCAACCAACTATCAAAACTTAAAAACTTTGTTGAGATTATATATGATAAAATATAGTTTTATGGTATGCTATATTTATGGGTTAAAGTGCTCAATATCAAGGATAGAGCATATGTAGATATAAAAGTAGACACTGGTCAACACCCAGAGGTAACAGTCTGTTTCGTGCTAAACACAATCATCAGGCCATTGATTGCGATTAGCACGAAATGGACTGTTACCTCTGGGTGTTGACTTCAATGTCCGTGTGTGTGTGTGTGTGTGTGTGTGTGTGTGTGTGTTAGAACCATTGGTGCTTGTTGTATTTTAAATCAGCCTACTGACACCAGAGTAAAACAAACAAGCAAACAGGCAGGCAGACAATTTCTGGTCATAGAAAATAATTAAAAAAATAAATAAAAATATCAAAATTTTAAAAACTTACAAAATATAAAAATAAATTCATGCATAAATAAAAAAGGTAAATGAATAAACATATTTGCCAAAGAAAATGACCAGTAGTTTGGAATATTACATTAATTCAAACGTGTCCATTATTTTGAAATATGATTATTGGCAACATTTTTGGTGTTTATTCCTCCCACCCACCTCTGAGATAGTTTACACAAAAGCCTTTTATGATGGTGAAAATATAAAAATATAATAATTGAACAATTTAAGTTTAAATATTGTCACATTATGCTTTTAGCATAGGACATGTTAAAAATTTGCTTGACATCAATAATTAGTGTTTTATGAAGTGTATGTAAACATATCTGCTAAAGAATTCAAATTTATCAGACTCTAATGTGTGATGTATCTAAATAACTTGAAGTTGGAAGATAAGACTACTGAACTTCTCTTTATCTACACACACACACACACTCTTTATATAATATATATATATATATATATATATATATATGTTTGTGTGTGTGTGGATGTGTATAAATTTCAAAGGGTATCTTCATGAATCACATAAGTCAATGTAATGACAACACAGTCTATCAATAAGACATTCAGCCTGATTTCACTTGCAATCTATGCAACAAATTGTGCAGGTCAGAAAGCAGACTAACCCAACATCACAAGTCACGGCACCATTATACTAATACAAATAAAACAAATGTGTATTTTATAAAATAAAATGAAGACAATCATCATCATATAATTCACTCACACATGACACAGACATATGCATATACATTATATACACACATGCAAAGCCACACAGAGCTCTTTTTTTATAATATAGATTCAAACATTTGCTGCATACACTCTTTAGGAAATCAGTGAAATGGAAAAACTTGTCAATTTCAAATCTTTTCTTTTGTACCCCCTTATTTCTTGAGATAATGATATCCATTCATACCCATCATTTTGTTAAAGTTCTTAAGCACAAATATTAAATGATGCAAAAGGGAAATTTTCACCAGTATTTCATGGTCATAGAATTCGCAAGGAGCTTATTCAATCCATAACTTGAAAATTGAGATTCATTAGAAAATTAAAATTGGAAAAAAATAAAATTTTCACCAGTATTTCTACTTAGAATAAATATATTATGAAATCAGCTTCAATGCTGAGGAATTCTGCTTACTCCAGAAGTGAAAAGTGTTTCTTGAGAGCAGCACGGGTGTCGATACTAGCAACATTAGCAATGGAAAAATCTTGCAAGTCTGAGAATTGCTGGAAAATGACTTTCTGGAAAAAAGAAAAAAAAAAGCATGAATATAGTAAAATCTAGTAAAAATAGTACAGAAAGAAAGATTGAAAAAGAAAGAAAAAAAGCAAGAAAGCGTGAAAAAGAATGAAAAAGAAAGAAAGAGAGAGAGAAAGAAAGAAAGAAAGAAATAGTGAAAAAGAGAGAAAGAAAGAAATAGTGAAAAAGAGAGAAAGAAAGAAATAGTGAAAAAGAGAGAAAGAAAGAAATAGTGAAAAAGAGAGAAAGAAAGAAATAGTGAAAAAGAGAGAAAGAAAGAAATAGTGAAAAAGAAAGAAAGAAATAGGGAAAAGAAAGAAAGAAATAGTGAAAAAGAAACAAAAGGATAAAGAAAGAAACAAAAAGGAAAAAAGGAAAAGAAAAAAAAAAATGCTCCTCTATTTCCCAAGTTGTTAGATTTGTTGAGTACTCTGCTTGCTTTCTCTGCCAAATTAATAAGACTTATGTATGAAATATAAAAATGATTAAAGCAAAAAAGAAATGCATTATTTTTCAATATGAGCATAAATCTATATGAACAATTTCACTTATGGTTGAGCAATTTAAAGGTTATAGGTAAAGAGAAATAAGAGAGAAATTGGGTCTGAGTGATTTGTTTTTATGGCTTATCAACCTTATGCAGGTTATGTAAAACCAGAAAAATTTTTTAGATTGTAAAAGTATTTTTTTAGATATAATAATGATTTATTAATACAAGTTCTACTAATTAACCCATAGCTTGGGGGAGATGAGATAGTCATACCTTTCCTAAAAGTGAATAAGTGAATATGAATTTAGCTCTCCAATTTCCAATCCTAAGCCATCATCCATTACACCACCTGAACATCCAACCTTACATCACCTGATATTGCCAAGCAGTCACCAGGCTTGACATCACTTAACTTTAGTGATTGAACAAGAACCAGTATTTCAATGTGATATGGCTGTAAATCCAAGAGAACTTAGGAGTTGGAAATAGTAATGAATAATCAATCATTAAAATCTTACCTGTAATGCTGCTATCTTGTTATAATGGAGATCAATTCGATCATGCAAGGTCAGAGCCTCCCCAGTTTGGTCATTAATTTCAAATTCAATATACATTTCTAACATATCCATTAGCTGAAATATGAGAAAGTAACAAGAGGATTCATAATATTAGAATATAAATATTTCATATATTGATAAAAACAAATATTTTATATACAAATTGATATATATCTCCATGTCAAATGAAAATGAATAAAATCCAATTCTGATGCTTGTAACATTCAACTATCAGATCAGATGTGTTAATACACACTGAAACATGATTTCATTTGTGTAGTGTTTTTACATGTTTTTGATGTAATATCCTAAAATAAAGGACATATCTATATTAGTGGTTTATATATATATATATATATATATATATATATATATATACACAGTGGATAGCAAAAGTATTTAACACATTGGTTTTTCTTACATATCTCAAAAAATAACAGATCAATTTCAACGAAACTTATAGGAAATATTTAAACGAACATTGTCAATCAAAACATAGAAGGAAAATTTAAATTCACTGTTTGATCACAGATTTGGTTGGTTCATTTTGTTTAACGATATATCAACTTCTACAGGTTATTTAGTACTAAAATCTAAATATTTTGTATGTAATGTTATGCTTTCAACTACAGATATTTTTTAAATAATTTTATACTTTCAAAGTAAAAGATATATTTTTTAGGTATATATTTTGTAAATCGTAAAATTTATTGTTGATAATTTTAATATAAAAAGGCATTTATATAAAATTTTTTAATGTTGCATTGATTGTCATTTTGCTATAAAAATGTATTGTTGATCATCTTATTATAAAAAATACAGTTGATTTTTGTTTGAGGGTGTTCACTATTTGTCCATAGCTGGGACCCTAACAAGTGCTGCCTCTCTGGGTCAGCAGTTGAGAGGTGGTTCCACACTCCTCAAAACCTCCAATCTCCCAATCAGAGACCTTGCTGCCAGATGTAGTTTATTGTCATAGCTAGGACGACTGATCACAGACTGATGGCCAGGAAGTGATGGAAAGTGTAAATCGAGTAGCTCTGGCTGCTCATCAATGAATACCAAATGTTTCCTTATAAGGAAATAACTAATATTACCATTACCATAAAGGAATGACTAATTTACCTATTACTATTACCATGCAGTTTATCCAAAAAGGTTACACTAGTAACACATTATTAGGTTTGATTGCAAACCTGTTTGGTTGACACATCCAGAAAGGTTTAAACATTTGCAAAGGTTCAAGAAAGACAAAAAGATAGTTTTACAGCCACAAGTTCAAATGTTTATGGGGAAATGCAACTGATATTAAAATAGAACAAATGTTGTTTGACCCCTTACCTGTCCAAACAATTTCCCCTCTGGCCTTTTGATCAGGTTTGACAACTTGCTGACCACAAGAAAATGGGTGTTATCAATGACAGCATTGAAGAAGCGCCTTGTTGGTAACTGCGCTTCCAAATCTATCATCAGTTCAAGAAAACGTTCACAGTAATGAACAGACTCCATTGGAACAGGATCTGCAAAAGTCAAACACAAAAAGAAATACACTAGCTTCTGTTGGAATTCTTGATAGCATTTAAAAGGTTATGTAAGTTCACAATATATTTATTTTGAAAACAAAACTGTCATTGCTCACATGTTCAATCCATGTTTTCTTAGCATCCTTCTGTAGAACTACATTTCTGTTGTTTCAAGTCTCTTCTTAATCAGTGAGGAGATTCTTTAGCATTCACTACCATATAAGGGAACTGATATTATGTAACAGTTCAGTACTCACTTCTTTGTTTCTAATGAAATTTTTCTGATTCTTAATACTTTGGTTAGCTTTTGGAAGGCCTTTTTCACTATCCCAATGCACCTTTTCCATCCTCCATAAAAACACTTCCTAGATTTTGAGCAAGAGCTTAACAAAACTCCTTGTAACACCAAAGATGAACTGAAGGCAAGGATTATGGCAGCATTCACCAACTTAAAGAAGGAAACTGTCCAGAAGAGTTGCAGGCGATTCTGAAGTCATCTGGAGGCCGTGATTGGAGCCAATGGCAATTTTTATTGAATAAATTTACTCTTTAATATTTCAAGATATTTTCTGTGTAATTTTGGTAAATATATCTGTTAAAATGAGATGTCCGTGTTATTTTCATTTTTGCATTTAGACGACAATTTATCCATCGCAACCCCCAATGTGTGTGTGTGTGTGAATATTCACAGATAGAGTGTATCTGTAGAGGAAAAAAAAAAGAGACAAGAGAAAAAACTATTCTTAGCCAATGCCTTTCATCCTCTGAGGGACTTTATCAAAGGAATGTAGGATTTATTTGCACATGTTTATATACAAAACTATGACATTTGTGTCCTCCACATTTTGACTGACCTTTCAACCACCTGATGAACATTCTCAATTTAAAAGCCTTGATAAACCAATGACATCCTCGCTTTTGTATATAGACAGAAGTGTTGAGCCATGCATTAATCCTGCCATTTTCAAAAAGTATTAGATTGATGTATGTTTCAGTTTATGTTCGCTGATGCAGTAACAAGAAAGACTCACAGTACGTAATAAAAAGGTACTTACCTGTTTCGGGTATTTTTTCAAGAACAGTAAAATATTTCTTGATAAGTTGAGCTAAAAATGTGCTCTCAAATTCTGCCTTTTGCTTTTCCGGTTCTGTCAGCTTTGCATGGTTTTTTCGAAGTAGGTTGAAGAATTTCTTGTATTTTGGGTAAATTTGGAATAGTTCTTCTCGACGACCCTGAAGTAATAATACAAAACAAAGGTATAAGAGGAAAGAAAGTCAAGGGTTTCTGTCGATATTAGAATGTTTTACATTAAATTTAAAGGAAAGAGAAAAGATGTTAATGCTTCAGGTCTCCCATACATTCAATCTTGGGAAAGATGATTTTTTTTCAGTTCATCACAATAAATATATGCCTGGATTTCTAGGATGAGTTATTATTTACACTATTTAGATTCGAACTCAATGGTGCCTTAGCCTACTTTAGATACTCCCCTTCACATTAGGATTTCATATTCTAATCCCAATGTCCCTTACAATTTTAAAAACTGCAAAACCCACTTCTGAGAATGACCTCAGCTGCTTTTGGTTTGAGTTCTCCTTAATCTTGTCTATAGCATTTAAAGGATGATTCTTAGGTTTCGAAAAAGCCAGAAGTCACAATGAGATAAATTTGAACTCTAGTGATGAAAGGGTTTATTTTTTGGAAAAGAAAAAAAAAAACCTTGCACAATATGTGAAGTATCTAACTACTCTGTTATTGTGAATGGAATGTCCCACAAACTCACTCAATGGTGTCTACACTGCTGATGGAGTAGTCCTATGAGACAGTGTGCAGTAAGACACTACGCCAAGTAATATCAAGTCAATGCAACCAGTTCAAGATATTCAAAATGGCTGGATACATTCTGAACAGAAATTGTGTACTGAAAAGTTTTCAGCCTAACCCAAAAAGTATGAGAAAAAAAAAGTAATTTAAAAAAACAATAAAATATGATATTTGGTCATTTGTTGGTTGGTTATTTTTGTTTAGCATGGGTTATTTAATGTTGAAATCTAAATATTTTGTATGCAATTTTATTTTTTATTTATTTATTTTTTAACTAACTCATAGCTGGGGAAGAAGAGATGAATTGATACCTTTCCTGAGGGCATTGGCATGTAAAGAATTGGAACTCAGCTAACCTGTTATTAGCTACTTGGTCATTTGTGTGAAGTGGGTCAAGCTGAGAACTTTCAACACTCCTCATATATATTAAACACACAAAAAGCACATCTCTACAAATCACCATAAAAAAAAAAGATCATATACCAACTTACTGGTAGAATGTTTTTCCAGATGGAAAGGGAAACCAATTTCTGGACCTGTTCTCGGATCAAATCAACTTCCTAAGAAAAAAAAAAAGATAATTAAAAATCATGAAAATCTATTGAAATTCATAAAGTATTTTGGGTTTATATGCACATACATAGATAATCAAATGAGTCTCTAGCCTGATGGTAAAAAGCTATTATTATACACAACAAAAAATTTTCAACATAATATCCTCCACTGTCAATGCAGTTGATTCAGTAGTGAATATTAATTATATCCATTGAGCATTATTCAAATTCAGATCAAAATGCATCTAACAGACTGGATTTACTGATTTATCCATGAGAAGGGATTAAAAAAAACAAAAAACATTTAAATATCAGACATGAAAAAGACTTGTATCTATCTTTTTTTCTCACAGCTATAGGTTAAATAACAGGGTAGACTGAGTTCTCCAGCCTTAGTTGGCAACCAAAACAATTTCAAATTCAGAACCAGAGGATTGGGCATGGGTATACTAACTAAACCATATAAAAACCTGCTTACTACTGAAACTGCAGCAACATGGGTAACCACCCATGTTGCTGCAGTAGCCCTCCCCAAATTCCACAAGGAATCTAAAACAACTTTTTTTTTTCTTAAAATCATTTCACCCCAAGCAAGGTGATAATGCCACTGGGACATGGAGGTTTGGGGGGGGGTTACAGTGAGCGGAAGAAAATGAGAAGACTTAAGTGAGGAAAAGGACAATAAAGTAACAATGTTTGGGAAGACAGAAAATGGTGATTGATGTTTGTAAGTGACAGGGAAGCAAGAAATCAGAAAGATGAAAAGTGCAAGAAAAAAAAACCTGTTAGAATAGAACTTAGTGTTACAACTAGGTAGTTCAGGAGTAAAATGGTAAGACCTAGTTGCCAATCTAGTAGCATGCTTAAATTCATGTAGTAGCGGCACTAAGAAGAAAAGCTCATCAGAACAAGTGTCATAAAACAGTTGTAGAAAAAAAAGAGAGAAGCCATGTCAAGTTGGTGAGAAAGTGACTGAAGCTAAAATACCAGAACAGGATTGATTACATTATAGACGTTTCTTTGAATTTTGTCAAGAATCTCAAGATATACAGCAGGGGCACCAGACCAGAGATGGTGGTAGTATTCAATGCTTGAACAAATAGTAGATTCATAAATGTGCAAGATGGATTCTGACAAGAAAAATTCTAGCACAACACAATGAACCAACTCTCCTAACAAGAGACACAGTAATTGATTCAATATAATCATTCCATTTCAGTAATGTAAACATACAATGTGACCCTCACTCAAGTTTTTGACCAATTAGCCAATGATTACCTCATGTTGCATTTTGAATCTCAATCTCATTGGTGTGCACTGAAAGTTAGGAAAGGGCCCACTGCTTGCTCACAAGGTAACACAATGAAAGGCAAATGCCACATTGTGAAATAAGAATGTGAACACTGTTTCCCATATTACATATTTTATTCAGGGCTTCACCTGCTCATCTGGATGAGTAGGTAACAAATACTTAGGACAGCTTTGGCTATATCAGCTCTTCTCACCAACTCTTTGCTCATCGACACATGCCAACATGCAGTTGGCAATATGAATGGACAGCACTGGAACCACGCAATGGACAAGTACTTGACCATTCCCAAGGATGACTTAATATAGACCAGCACCCAGATAAGCTTTATTTCCAGTTTTGTTGTCACTTGATCTTCAAAAAAATCCCTCATCCACTTCTTTACTCTTCTGCTCTCCTTCAGTTATTGTGGATGCCACTGATAAAATTAGACTTCAAAAAGAACCACCTGCTGGTTCATTAAACAGAAACACTTGAGTTCAAGATAAAACCACATCTCTTTTTTCTATGTGGGTGTCCATAATATCAAAAACAATAAAGCAAAATATGGTAACCTTATTTGAAAGCTACAGTAGAAAATGTTCCAAAAATTTCAGAGAATTTGCAATAAATTTTAATGTATCAATTGCATCCATTTTAGATCATTTAAAAGTGCAAAAAGAAAAAAAAACAATTTGAATGAGAAATAAAAAAAATATATGGAGATTAACATTAACCATATTTAACAATACAAAACTCATCTAGCTTTACAGTTCTTATCATTTGTAAAAAATATATTTTACAGAATAACTTTGTATTATATATAAAGATCAGAGAAAATAAGTATGAAGTAGTAATGTCTTTTCTTTCTAGTGACATGACCCTTAATAGTAATATAGAAGAAATGCTATTTAATATTCATCCTTCTATATAGCAATGGATGCCAAACAATTTCTTTATAAATGATGAGGAGACAAGAGAGATGTGATTTTACTGAAGGATACTGAGAATATCATGGATGGAATATGTGAGCAATGAGTAAGTTTTAAAGGAAATAGGAACAAAAAGAACACATACATAATATCAGAAAGAGACAGCTGAAATAAATTTCTTGGACACAACAAAGAAAGAAGGTTAAGAGAATGTGATACTCATCAGATATATTGAAGGAAAGTGAAGCAGAAAGAAACATTGAGCTTGTGTAAACAAATGGCTGAAGGGGGACTAGGAGGGATACTAAAGAGACAAACTTTACTTAGAACTAAGAATAATAGAAAGTTGTGGAGAGTCATGATTGCTCACATACTGCATGAACAAGACACATAAATGAAAAAGATAGCTGGAGGAATGAAAAGTTAGGTTAAGTAGTTTTGCTGACTATATTATTGCAGAGTGTTTTGGGAAATGGTACTTACCAAACTATTGAAGCAATGGATGAGGAAAACTAAAAGCATTGCTTGTTCTTGTAAAGAAAAATCTCCTGTTTTGAGACTGGCTTTAAGAACTTCTTGGAAGAAGGCTGGAAAGTTTTCAGACTTTGATTGAAAAGCCTTTAAAAAAAAAAAAAAAAGAAAAAGAAAACCAATTATTACAACATAAAGTGGATAGTAACATTTAACTATGCTTTAAGATGTTTGTCTTTTTCATTCCAAACAAGAAAACTAATGAACAAAATTTAAATAGTGTATTTGCAAAAACACATACACCTATGACTCAAAGATCAATTGTGCTAGTCTTCAAATATTTGATGAAGTGGGATAGTTTTATTTTTAGCAAGATTAAACACCTCCCCACTTTGGATAGAGATTTTTAAAAACATTTTCAGTCAAATAGATTAGGCAAAGAGACAGAGTTGAATTTTTAATGTATTTCATACCAATAGATTTCTTCTTATGGAGAAAACTTAAAGACCAAATTTACACCACAAAAACTAATGAACTTGTATAATTACAGACTATAACTGAAGGTAACTGTTGTATAATTCCACGTTGATAATTGCAACTCAGTTTCTGTAGATTTGAATGGTATCTTGTGGTGGAAGGAAGACATTTTGAATATAAAGTGTCATTTAAACATAAACAATCAATACATTTCTTTCTAAAATATTTTATAATATTTATTCTTTATTATCAAAATGTTTTAGTTAATTAGGAAACTAAAGGGAGAGAAGGAACGGTAAAGGCTATGTAAGAATGCCAGAGAAAAGTGAAAAGAAAAGGAGAAAGACAGAAAGGCTTACTGTTGTAAGTTTTTTGCTCCTTTACCTTTTTTGATTTTTGAAAAGTGGGAGAAGCTTTAATAGTTATTTTATTTCAGGGTGAGGCCTGAGATTCACCCATTACATAGTTAAGTAGATGTTATGGCATTAACTTATAGACAAATACATTAAGAGAAAATAAATTCTAAAAATTTTACTATGGGAATTTAAATTTAAATTCTTGGAAGTTAACTGCATCACAGAAATAACAACCAAAATATTAAAAATCAACCATATTGTGAACCTGAAAAAAATTAAAAAAAAAAAAAAAACCTGAAGTCCAAGCAAAAATTGAAATAAAAATATAAAATACATTCTTACCTCCCAAGCAGGAACTCTTTCTCGGAATTTCTCATTAACCATAATCACAATTGACATCAAGTGACTCTTGGTGCTCTGAAAAAAATAAAAATAAAGAGTCTTTGAATTTCTTTGAGAAAACATTATCAGTAAGAGTCTAGAATTGGGCTCACAATTCACATGTGCAAAATGATGAGTTAAAATTTATATATTGTTTTTATATATTGTTTATAATATATTTTCAAATACATTTTTTTGATTTTTTTTTAAAGGTATATTCAGATATACAAGGTCTGTCTGAAAAGTAACAGGATTGATCACGTTCTTCAATGTGAGAGACATCATCCACTGTGAGTTCTTGCCACAGAGCCAAACGATCAATCAGCAAATCTACAAAAAGACCCTGTGGCATGTGCTTCACTCAGTGCACGAGAAGTGACAAGAATTGTGACAGGAGAAATCATAACTGCTTGACCACAACAATGCACCTGCTCACCACACCCTGAGCATCTGGCAGTTCCTGGCCAAAAACCACTGTACCGGAACAACCTCCCTCTTCACCTGATCTTGCTCCCTGTGACTTTTTTTTTCCTTTACCCAAGCTGAAGGGAATTATCAAAGGGACCCATTTTGAAGGCATGGCAGCCATCAAGAGGGCTATAATGAGAGAGCAGAGGGGCATCTAAGAAGAATCCTTTCAGCAGTGCATAGAAGGAAGAAAAAGTGCATTAGGCTCAAGGGAGATAAATTTGTAGGGGAAACCATGTAGTTTGTTGTTTGGAATTGAAATAAATTCCAATACTTTTCCAACTGAACTCGTATATTCCCATTCATGCAGATGCTTGCTGGTTCTTTTTTCTCAAAGAAAATGCTTTAGATGAAGCCAGCTATTCTCTCTTATTTGATAATGGACTGAAGATATTTTTTTTCCTACGGCCAGTTTTAGGACATCGCCAAATACATCAACCAGGACAACTTTTGGATACCAAGGTCATATTGCCACAACAATCTTCACAAGTTCTTTGCTCTGCAATTAACTTCTTTATTTTAAAACGTTAAAAAAATGTTCTTATTCTTCAAAAGTTCTAGCTAATTTTCAACTTTCATTTTTGTGCATGCAAATTATGGCCCCAATTTTAGACTTTTACCAGATTATCATTTATTAACTGGGTGCATGGAAATTCCAGAAAGACCAGAAAAATGGCTCAACTGTAATATTGTATTAACAAAGAATGAGCTCAGTAGTCTGGACAACAATTGGAATATATCCAACATTATTTGAACTTTCAACTCTTTTTTTTTGTTTTAACTGTTGTTGTCAATACAATATTTTGGAATATCCATTCTTCAAAACCTCATCAGGTGTAAACTGTGGGAAAAAAAAGGAAACTTTCTTTCTTCCACAAGAAACAACTATATAGGATGAAATGCTAACTCTACTCAAAATTATGGAATATAACTTTAAATTATTTTATAGTTTTAAATTATTGTTTGAATGTCCACTATTTACATTATTCGGACTATTGTTCTCATCTTTGTTGCCATGTTTATCACTACGTTTCAGCCGTTGTACGCTCCAGCCTTCTTCAGCTGGTTGGAATTTCATACTGAACCCTTTATTTCGCTCACTAGGGTAGACTGAGAACAATAGTCCGGATAATGTAAATAGTATACATAATACCTCATCTGAGAAATATAGACAGATACTGTTTGAATGTCATTATTTACATTTTGACTAGAATCCTTTGCCTTTTTTTTTATTATCATCACATTTCAGTTGCTATGCCTACCAGCTTTCTTCCAATGCTTGCTGATTATTGTAAACTTTAGGAAAATTTGAACTGAACCCATCATTTAATCTATGGAAGTAGATTATTCTCATTCCGCTGTCCATGTCTAGGAATATCTCGTCTTGTTTTTTTTTTAGTATTGTTTAATTACTGCTCCATGTTTCAAGTGAATCTGAGTTAGTATTAGCCAAATCATGTATTGAACTCACAATGATTATGTCACCAAATTCAAAAACCAATGCTTTAATCCATTAGAATATTCTTCTGTTTATTAGCTAAACTAAAGTTGTCAGTCATTTTGAAAGGATAATTACTATACAAAACATTTTTCCACTTATATTGCTTCCTTTTTCAATTTAATTGGAGGAAACTATGTACTAAGACTGATTGATTCCCTTTTTTTTAGAGCTTATCAACACTTTGCAGGTTATTTAAAGCCAGGAAATATATTAGATTGTAAAAGAATTGGTGGGGGGGGGAGATAATGATGCTTTAGTGGTACATGTTTTATTAATTAACCCCTAATTAATACCTTTCCCAAGGGCATTTACACATAAGTGAATATAACGAACCCAACTGGAATTGGAACTTGGCTCTCTGATTCACAAGTCTCGGTATAACTGTTATCTTTCCCACATATCCTCATAAACTACACCTCTCACATCTTATTTTTACTGCTCACACAACAAACTGTTTCAGTAACCCTCCACTTTAAGTGGCTCTTGTGATTAGTATAGTAAAAAACACAAAAAAACAAACTGAGAAAGTGAATAGATTTAGATAGTTTGAGGGGTGATTTGTTTTTTTGTTTTTAGCAGGTTATTTTAGTATTTGTGCATAAGTTAATATAAAGAACCAGACTGGTAATAGAACTTGCCTCTCCAATTTTCAATTATGTGCCATTATCATTATACCACCTGCACATCCAAGCTTGCTGCATCTGGTATTCTCAAGCAGTCATCCATATAGGTACTGACCAGTCTCGATATTGCTTAACTCTAGTGATTGTACGAGAACTAGTGTTTCAGCGTGATGTGGCCATAAGCCCATCTATTAAATTCTTGTATTAATGAATCTAAGATAAAAATGTAGCGTTCAGATTGAAAAAAAGTCAGATAAGCAAAAAGAAATAAGATTTTAAAAAGGCAAATTGGACTTACTTTCTCAGGATGGTAGTTGGGCCACAGATAACATTCAAGGTACTGACTGAAAATAAATAGAACAGATTATTTGCAAAACACTCTAAAAACAAGATGACTGCATTGTGAAAAAGGAAAAGGAATAGCATATCATGGAGAAAATAGAATCGGATCAGATTCCTCATTTCACTTGTTTTTTGGGGTTTTTTTTTTCAGGAAAACTGGAGAGTAATTTGCTATTGACAAAGTTTGTAATAAACAATAATGAGAGAAAAAAATGGTAAAAATAATATTAAGCAAGCAATCCATATATGCAAGGCAAAGGAACAGTAATAAGACAAAAAGTTCACAAACTAAAAATGATATTAACACAAATAAGGGAATACAAACAAGCAATCACAGCATTCTGGCTGCAAGAAAAAACAGATTTAAGTTTGATTAGACTGAGAAGTGAACTATCTCACTGACTAGGAAGAAATCTTAGCATGCATCTGTGTGGTTTGCCTATAAATTGGAAGAGGTGGGGAAGTATTTTGCATTCATTCTTTATTGGATTGGAATCAACAAAAATAATCAGGATTTAACACAGATCTCATACATAAAGTAATCTTATTTCAAGTATTCTGTGAAATTTAGAATAATGAAACAGGAACAAAAAATAACTATATATAATATAAATAGAAAGTGGTTTATGTGCTAATGTTTACCCAGATGTCATAGAATACCAATTGTATTTTTACAAGTCACTGTCACTAATGTCATAACCCGATATGTGAATACAACTAGAGTGTTGTGAGAAGGAATTCTGGCAGTGCCCATTCCTCTCCATGCATGACTATCTCTGAATTCTTCCCTCTCGGTAGCTTGCATTTCTCATGAACTGTTGTAGATAGTCTCTACCTCTTCTGCCCTAGCAGGTGTCCTCATCATGCAAGTCATATGTCCAGTGATGTCATGTTAATATTAGCATGTAACAGTTTGTAGTAATAACCCAGTACAATTTGCTGCATTGTAATGGATGCTGATGCTAATTTTTACTTGTATTTTTGTTTTAATTCTGTCTCTCAAAACCAAATTTAAGAATTAAATTTTTCTAAAATTTCCTTTATCAACTGAATGTCTTCTTTTTTTAATTCAGCATTTGTAGTGTTGAGACTGTAAAAAAACTGAAATTGATATGAAATTTAAAAAAAAAACTGAACTATTGTTTAGGATTGCAAGTTCTATCATATAATGTCCAATCAGTGAAGTGATAAATATTTAATTCCATAAACAATAGCATATTTGAGGATTGCTTCTTCATTTAAATACAATGTAAATCAAACTTTCAAACCTTTTCCTTTCTTTAAAGAATGGATATCATTCAATATTAGATTTTATTAGGATACATAGAAGTTAGTGGCTGCCAGTGAGAATCAAACTGATTTTTTTTTATAAACTAACTGTTCACTCAATACAAGGCCCAAGATCTACTCAAGATAGATGATTACTGTATGAGATTGTTGTATAAAAGTAAGAGGAGGTAAGAAGTGCAGCTTATGAGGATATGTAGGAAAGATAGTTAACTCTAGACTTGAAGAGGTTAAGTTTGACATAATCAATTGCATTAAGAATTGGTTACCAGCTCCCGAAAATAATCCTCTTCTATTCATACCTGCCTTGACATCAAAGGTTTGCTACAGATGATGTGGAGGGCTAGAAATATGGCAGTATGCCTGATTGCTTGATGTCACATTTCACATTTCACATAACCAATCAGAGTCATAAAGGCACCAGAAGTACTGCAGGCATAGCAACAGATGTGTATCTTGGGCAATATAACCTGACGGAGTCCATCCCCCTTCAAACTAATTTTGAATACTAGACTGGTTGACACCTAAAGGCAAGAGAGCCAAGTCTGTTC